CCTTAAATATAATACTTTCGTTGTCCTTCCAGACATGAGTTGCCAAATTAAGCGATCCATCGGGCCCATTGTTCTGGAAAAGGAAAGTTAACCAGCAGGCTTAGTGACTAATCACCAACATAAGCGGAGAAATGGTTGGTTTATATGTCGGTTAATCATTGAAGGAAAAGGATAGTGTAGGCACGACGGTCCGATTTTCCGCGGCGGCTAAACTTCGGCTGATTGCCCGTTCCCTTTTCATCGCTCCGTGATGGGCAATACTTTGGCAATAAATCATTAATCACTACATGTTTCGGGTTTACGGTCAGAGATTGCGATGAGAACCTCTGGATTGCACCGCAGAGGCTCATCTCAACCGGGGAAGAATGACCACCAAACAAGATCCACCAATTGATAGATGATCCGTGCTTGCGACATCAAGCGGGGAGTGTCGGCACGAACTCTCCAGGCTTCGCTCTTAACCAGCCTGCATTGTCAATCATCCTTGGCCCGTGGTGGAGTAGGTAGTAGTTACGATATATATTTGTATGCCTCATAGTCCTCCGTGATCTGCTTTTCTTATTTCTTTATCCTCTGTACTTTTTCTTACCTCTACATCTATTGTTTTTACACTATTCCGCCCATAGTTTTGTCGGAATAGTTATCATTTTAATCCTACGATTTCTCCCATTCCTTTTTTCTTCTTTATGTTCACTTGAACGAAAGAAAACGTAGATATACCCATACAGCACATTCAAAATGCCTCGCCTCGACGTGGAAAAGACCATCGAAGAACTCTCCCTAGGGGAGAAGGTCGCCCTGACAGCCGGTAAGTCAAACCCCACGATCGCAAGACGAAAAAAAAAAATATCCTAACAAAACCCCAGGAATCGACTTCTGGCACACAGCCTCCGTGCCCCGCCTCAACATCCCAACTCTCCGCATGTCCGATGGCCCCAACGGCGTGCGCGGAACTCGCTTCTTCAACGGTGTCCCAGCCGCATGTTTCCCTTGTGCCACGGCACTGGGCGCAACCTGGGACACCGAGTTGCTCCATGAAGTCGGTCAATTGATGGGTGAGGAGTCCATTGCCAAGGGCTCGCATATCATTTTGGGTCCCACGATCAACACCCAGCGGTCTCCGCTCGGAGGTCGTGGGTTCGAGTCCTTTGCCGAGGATGGTGTGCTTTCTGGACACTTGGCCGGCCACTTCTCCAAAGGTATTCAGGAGAAGGGCGTTGCGGCAACTCTGAAGCACTTTGTGTGTAATGATCAGGAACATCAGCGTATGGCTGTTGATAGCATTATTACGCAGCGGGCTCTGCGCGAGATCTATCTTTTGCCTTTTCAATTGGCTATGAGAATTTGCAGAACGGCGTGTGTCATGACGGCTTATAACAAGGTGAATGGAACGCATGTTAGTGAGAATAAGGACATCATCACGGATATCTTGCGGAAGGAATGGGGGTGGGATGGCCTGGTCATGAGTGATTGGTTCGGTACGTACAGTACCAGTGATGCAATCATGGCTGGTTTGGACCTAGAGATGCCGGGCAAGACACGCTGGCGTGGAACTGCCCTGGCGCATGCCGTTTCGTCGAACAAGGTCCCTGAGTTTGTCATGGATGAGCGTGTCCGCAACTTGTTGAACCTGGTCAACTATGTGGATGGCTTGAATATCCCGGAAAATGCCCCAGAGAAGGCTCTTAACCGGCCACAGGACCAGGCTCTTCTCCGCCGTGCTGCGGCGGAGTCTGTTGTTCTCATGAAGAACGAGGAGAATATCTTGCCTCTGAAGAAGGACAATTCTATTCTGGTTATTGGTCCTAACTCTAAGGTTGCGGCCTACTGTGGCGGCGGCTCCGCGTCCTTGGATGCTTATTACACTGTCACTCCGTTCGATGGTGTCTCAGCTCAGAGCAAGGGTGAGGTCAAGTTCGCTCAGGGTGTCTACTCGCACAAGGACCTTCCTCTCCTCGGGCCTTTGCTGAAGACAGCCGACGGCAAAACCGGATTCACATTCAAAGTGTACAACGAACATCCTTCCGAATCTAACCGCCAACTGGTCGAGGAGCTGCACCTGGTCTCGTCGAGCGGATTCCTCATGGACTACGTCAACCCCAAGATCCAGTCTCTCACTTACTTTGTTGACATGGAGGGTCTCTTCACCCCCGAGGAAGACGGTGTCTACGACTTCGGCGTCACTGTCGTCGGTACCGGTCAATTGTTCATCGATGGTGAGCTCGTCGTTGACAACACCAAGAACCAACGCCAGGGCTCTGCCTTCTTCGGCACTGCTACCGTCGAAGAGAAGGGCTCGAAGGAGCTCAAGGCTGGCCAAACATACAAGATCCTCTTCCAATTCGGCACTGCACCTACCTCCGACCTCGACACCCGTGGGGTGGTAGCCTTCGGACCCGGAGGCTTCCGCTTCGGTGCCAGCCGTCGCGTTGGCCAGGAGGAACTCATCTCCAACGCTGTCAAGCTAGCCTCCGAGGCCGAACAAGTGGTCATCTTCGCCGGTTTGACCAGCGAATGGGAAACCGAGGGCTACGACCGCGACCACATGGACCTTCCCCCCGGCAGTGACGAGATGATCTCTCGCGTGCTGGACGTCAAGCCGAACGCCGTCGTGGTGGTCCAGAGCGGCACCCCAGTGACCATGCCGTGGGCCAACAAGACAAAGGCTCTCCTGCAAGCCTGGTTCGGTGGTAACGAGTGTGGTAACGGTATCGCAGACGTGCTTTACGGCGACGTCAACCCCTCCGGCAAGCTACCCATCACCTTCCCCGTCCGTCTGCAGGACAACCCCAGCTATCTCAACTTCCGCTCCGAGCGCGGCCGTGTCCTCTACGGTGAAGACGTCTACGTCGGATACCGCTACTACGAAAAGGTCAATCTGGCCCCTCTCTTCCCCTTTGGCCACGGTCTCTCCTACACCACCTTCACCCGCTCCGACCTGACCCTCACCACTACTCCCGAGCAGCCCCAATACGAAGAAGGCGGCGAGCCCATCACCGTAACCGTCACAGTAACCAACACCGGCAAGGTAGCCGGTGCAGAGATCGTCCAGCTCTGGGTCGCTCCTCCCGCAACGGAAGTCAACCGCCCTGTCCGCGAACTCAAGGGCTTCACTAAGGTCTTCCTGCAGCCTGGGGAGCAGAAGAAGGTCGAGATCATCGTGGAGAAGAAGCTGGCTACTAGCTGGTTCGACGAGATGCGCGAGAAGTGGGCGTCCGAGAAGGGCGAGTACGAGGTTCTTGTTACTGGTACTGGGGAGGGTGTTCTCAAGTCGTCCTTTAAGGTCGAGAAGACTCGCTACTGGGTGGGTCTGTGAGTTATGGTTCGTATCTAGATGTGGATGTCGATTCGATTCGAAAGTCGCTGGACGACTCTTTGTGTGTGTGTTGAATACGCTTTATGGTTATGAATAGAAGCGGAGAATTAAATTGTATGCTTTAAGATGTCTATTCTTCTTTATACGTACCGGACCTTCTACACTTGACGTACTGTACCTATTTCGGACATCCTCGCTTTTCTTAGGGTGCTTGTAGTAGACCGATATATGATCGTCGTAGCTTATTTCTTAGTAGGCTAGTAGGGCCTTTGTAGATATCTGCAACTAGCCCTCATTGGGTACAAACGCTGTGTAGTCAGCCACACCTGAACTATTTCGACCTAGGACCTAGTATAAAACCTTCATGATCAGCGATTCCGCCCCCTCAGACAAATGCTGTACAGCAACTAAACTGTTGATGAACAATATACGATATTCTCACACAGACCAGAGCTCTTGGTTCTAGACAATACTACAGAAGTTAAATTAAAGGGTACTAATTATACAGTTTGTGGATGGCCGTCTCCTTGATCTATCATATCCGCCATGTAGAGGAGGAATAAGAACCACATCACAGCTTTCTGGATGTTAGTATATAACAAATCCTTGCACTCTACTATTCTCTCCGAGCTAGAGCTATCGCATGGTAACACTGGCTGAATCACACTAAACAGAATAATACCCCCGTCACTGAAGATCGTCAGCCGGTGACAGCTATGCTCACCTGCAGAATTCCATCGTCTATAATTAATACTACACGAAGAGACGACCTTCCATATACAGTATGCTTATTTTTTTAAATGCGGTCTTTAACTGGTGTAGGAGAAATTCTTGCAGCTACAGACTGGGGGATTTTACACCGACTAGGTAGACCCAATCATATAGCAGCCGGACATCACCGTAACCTTTTTCATTTCCAGTATAGATGCTAACAGCCGTGGTAAGTGTTCCGAAAAGATGGTATTTAAACATCTCTCTTGATGATTATTTCTGGGGATGAATGAAGGATTCTGTCATATTAGTAAAAACTAGAGAGTTCTTTGGAATGTAGAGTGGGTTCTCCTGTAACAATATCTGAATATCTAGACGTGTGCTGGGAAAAAGCCCTTATGGTAACATCCTTGAGGCAAGATAAAGTGGCGGCCCAGAGGTCTGAGCCCAGTCCTGCAGCTACTGAGGTACATATGTACGTAGTCATATGATGATCCTTGACCCAATAGCAATAAGAAGCGCTCAAACGCAATGCAGGAAGACCCTCAAATCTTCAGAATGCATGCTCATCCTATAAAGTTACCCCTAAGGGGGTTACCACCCACGCATGATGGCGTGTGCATCTAGTTCTTGGGCTTGATCAGGGGCTACGAGGTATCAGGGTGAGAGGAATTACTTCCCCCGCCCACACATACACACCGCTACTACTATGATGGAAATGCATTCAAACACAACCTGACCCACATCCCCAAGCTCAAATATAGTTTCCAATTGATCTAGTCGAGTATGTACATTATGGTGTCGCGTGTGCAGTGTGCCTATTGTCTCCCCTCCTCCCAGTGCTACCTGCGTGTGTCTTGTTTAGTACTACTAACTACCTGTACATTAGGGCTTACCAATCCAAACTCCTGATCTACATCATTACTAGCTTCTAGAGCTTTTTCTTTCTCCTCATACCTTTCCCCTCAATCCAATGCCAAGCGTTATCGTCATCGATGGTGGCCAAGAGGTTACCGGAGAGGTCCAGGTTTCTGGTTCCAAGAATGCCGGGCTACCACTCATGGCGGCGACACTACTAGGTACCGGGCCCAGTACGCTGCATGGTCTCCCACCTGTATCAGACATTAAAAACATGGACTCTATCTTGCAATACCTCAGCGCCGATGTTACGCAGGTTAGCGATAACCTGCTTAAGATTGACAGCACAGATGCAACGTCTCTTTCTGTTCCTGTGCAGCTTACTCATAGCTTAAGGGCGTCAATATTGTTTCTTAGCCCGCTCGTTGCTCGATTCGGGTACGCCCATCAAAGTTTCCCTGGTGGCTGTAGCATTGGGACACGTCCAGTTGAAGAACACATCAAAGGCCTCAAACAGCTTGGGGCTCGTATCATCATAACAGATACACATATTGAGGCGTATGCGGCTCAGTTACAGGGAGCAACCATCCATATGGAGACCCCCTCGGTGACTGGAACCATGAATCTTATCATGGCCTCTTGTTTGGCGCTCGGCGTGACACACATCCACAACGCGGCCCGTGAACCGGAAGTGAGTGACTTGATCGACTTCCTGGTCCGCATGGGAGTAGAGATTCATGGCACGGGGACGGACCATCTTCTTATTCATGGTCGTAGTACACTACCTCTATCGCCTTGTCAGTACCATATTATGGAAGATAGGATAGAGGTGGGCACGTTTTTGATCCTGGGGGCGATATGCGGGAACCCTCTTACGGTATATCCCTGTCACCCTGAGCAGCATGCAATGTTGATCAAGAAACTTAAAGCAGTGGGTGCTCGTGTTCATATATCAAGCAACTTTGTAACCATCCGGAAAGTCAAACGTCCCTTAGCTGTCGACATTATCACGGGCCCCTATCCGGCATTTCCAACAGACTTGCAGCCGCAATTTATGGTATTGCTTTGTTTAGCCCAAGGCACAAGTCATGTTATTGAATCTATTTTTGAGAGACAATTTGGCCAATGCTTTGGTCTCCAGGTCATGGGGGCTGGTATACGCGTTTGCGAACAGACGGCAATAATCAGTGGCGTGGAGAAACTGTGTGCGGCACTCGTGTCTGGTTCAGATCTGAGAGCCACTGCTAGTCTTATTCTTGCAGCAGTGGCTGGGAGGGGACGGTCTGTGGTTGGCGGTATAGAATATCTTGACCGGGGCTATTACAACCTAGAAAGAAAACTCGCAAAGATCGGTGTCATTGTTGAAAGCTTAGATATATGAGTGGAATTAGCAAGATTGTAGAAAACAATTTGTTTATACGCCCGGGCTTGTGCGATTGGCGGTGAGCTGAAAGTAAGCATCGACTCGTGCCTGCATCCATAACGACTGCATGAATACTACTAACAAAACATATTATAGGTATTGTCAGCCTGCCGGCTCTGAGGAGGTATACCGCACCCGCTCCGAATCCAAACCAGGTGGTCAGATCCAACTCCTCCACCAGCCGCCACAACAATTCTCTTTGACCCCCACTATGATAAAACGCAGAAATGTGCGTAGGAATAGTTTTAGCTGTAATTTGGCTTCCGTGGATGTTATTCCATCGCTCGATCAACCACGTGACTAGGGCATATCTGTGGTGCTGTGCTGCGTACTATGTCGGACATTATGATGCATTGAAAAGAATTGGTATTGAAGAAGCATCAGGGGTACTCATGCTGGATCAAAGGCTAATGCTCTTCGAATATCTAGGTATACTATTTTACTCTCCAAATCAGTCTCCTTAACGATTCCTACGGCGTCTTGCCCTTTGCAAACTATTTAGACGGCACCATGCCAAAATTCATATCCCCTTGCGCCTGATACTGGTGGCTGCCTACAATGTTCTGCGTGCCCCCGCCGAACTGATTGTATTGATGACTATTGGCCCCGTACTGATGGGCAAGTCCGGCCTGCGCACCTAGCGATGAATTGCCATGGCTGCTTTTAGTCGCACCCCCTGTGTCTTTACTCCACCGACGCAGCTCTCCACAAATAGCCATAAAACCAGGGTCATCGACACTGGAGAACTTGGTCATATCCATATGATTACTGTGAATTCCAATGGGCACATAACCCGGCAGAACGGCCGAATCTTGTGGCACAACCTATTGTTGGAGACGTCAGCATTTCGAGGGAAGGGCTCCGACTTTGGCATGACTTACTAAACCAACTCCCAGCACGGGCACCTCTTCATAGAAACAAGTCACTTCGATCGGCGGCGGTCCTACACTTCGCACCATCGTGTGAAAGCCGTCTTGGATCCGCGCAAGAACCTCCGAATCGCGCTTGAGAACGTTGACGATCTCGGAATTCGTCTGCTTAACCAGGCTAATTGATCGGCATACAAAGTCGGCCCATTTGGCAAGGCTAGCTCCATGGTGTGGCGTGCCGAGAAATATAATACCACGAGTGGACCGAAGGATGTTGTGGAGATGCGGCTCTGGTCGTTGTTTCGACGTGAACAAGGCCTGTGACGCGCAATTAGTGCAGTTCCCCCTGCTAAAATTCAAGCAATAGCGTACATCTTCACAGACTAGTCCACCTAAGCTATGGCAGACAAATATAATCGGTCGTTCATTCTACGTGGCGGTCAACGATGCAAATGTGGTGTCAATAGAGGTGGTCACCCTACCGTGGCATCGTTCTCTCGATAGTTTGAAAGAGATGCTAGCAGATTATATGCATGATTGGCAATGAGAGACCGCGATACTACACTTCGCCAGTCTGCCACATATGCGTCATATCCGAATGTGAAGATGCGGGCTGTCGGAAGCTTTGAAGGGAGGAGGGTTTTGGGCCAAGGTTCCTCCGCGCCTGGCGCAGTCCATGTTGCATCGCGATCACCGGTCAGACCGTGGACAAAGACGATACTGGGGAGAAACATCAGCAGTCATTTTCTTCAGCTTAGGATGGCACATACTCAATCGTCCCATCATTCGGGCCGCAGAGCAATTTGAGTCCGGCAGGGAAGGCCTTTCTTGGCTGGCATTTGGGTGTATTGTCCTGATCTTTGGCTCGAGGCCGCAGTCGTCGCCAGAATCGTTTCGTCCTGGTCACGTTCAAAATCATAGTATCTTGCCCCGGTCGTCAGATATACCATCCCAAGGTGTTGTTTACTAAAACTAAAAGTCATCCCGGCAGGGGGTATTTAATAATTGGGAACCCTGTCAATACTGGAAAGCAACAACGTATCCCGCGCTACCCCCACGACTGATTTCTCTTGAAGAGGGCAATGTACGCTCTCAATATAAGCGCCAGCCTTAAATAGCAACATGTATCTTTTGCGCGGTGCTCTAAAAATGACTCGGAGAAGGTCCTCCGCAGCCCCTCAACAAGGGCGGAGCTTTAGCGCTCCACATCTCGCCCATGATCTCGAAGGACGAAGCTTCAGTATGAGAGGTACTAGGGGGAGGGAGTTCCAGTTTTGTCCTGAACTGGGGATGGATGAATCCCTAGACCGGCCAATGATGAGCAAGGCAAAGCGAAGATCAAAAGCTTCGGACAAATCACAATGCATATTGCAATCCATATTGGTGATAACTTGCATAAGTGTTAGTCCCATTGCATTTCCGAAATGTACTTGCGCCAGAAAAAAATTATCTATCTATCTATCTATCTATCTAAAACTGAGGAGTACTGTACCCTTGTTTCCCCCGCCTAGATTATCGGCTTTGGTTCGCTCTGTTTTCCACTTGTGGAGAGCCCCAAGAGAATCCTGGCGTTAAAAAACAAGACTTGATTAGCTCAAAACCCTAATAATTTCATCTAGATGCATGGTTAGTCGTACTAGCATGATATAAGTCCCCAGCCCTAACGCGATCCGACCCGCTGTCCGTTTTCTTGCCTGGATCGGCGAATCAATCAGCCGAAGTCCACGTCATTTTCCGAGCGCTTATTACGGTGGGGGACCGAGTGAAGTGAAACCAACTCGTTCACTTGCAGCCGACATCCCCTGGGCGGCTAACTTGCATGGTGGATAAGTCTCAACTGTAAAAAAAAGAAACCGTACTCCAGAGAGGAGAAGGGTATCACGGATGCTCGCTACACAATCCGATCTGCATACTGCTAACTCAACTTCCCAACTTCTTAGCGCCCGGTTGTGGCTCCCTTTGCTGAGGTGTAAACTGACCTAAGCGACTGAGGACGTCAAACACGGCGGCTATACAAATTCACTCGCAACAACTACCAGATTATTGAGCAAAAACAAGGGCTGCAAGCCTAAGTGGAGGAAATTGGGGGTTGCATCGTACCGACCTAAATTATATAGAACTTGCCTGGTTCGCGTCCAGCACCTTCTACCACTTTTCGTTCTGATACGTACGGCCTACTACACTGCTGTACCAAATATTATGATGGAACTTCCCGGCCATAAGTCCGGTCTATTGTTGTCCAGTTACACCTCGATCCAGCCTCTGCCTAGTATGGCAAACTCGGATATCTCTCACCAGATCACCAGCCTCATCGAGGTCACAGAAGGCATCGTCGAGGCGTATAACCCGATCAAAAACCTCCGTGGCCTACCCGATGCCTTCCGGGAAGTGAACAACCTCCTTCCTTTCATCAAACAAATCCTTCAAGATGCTAAGCGTCCGACGAAGAGAGTCCTATCCGCCAACGACACTGAGGCCCTGAAGACGGCCCTGTGTAGCTGCGGCGAGAAGGCTAACAATCTACTGGAGATCTTCCAGAAGTTCGCAAAGAGGACGAATGGCCGATACAACTCTTCCGTGTACCGGGCAATTATTATTCAGCACGGCAAGCATAATGTTGAAACGCTGGCGGACGGTATTTTGCAGGATCTAGGGGCCCTTGTGACGCACCACATATTTCCGGCGGACCTGCAGAGGCAAGTCAAGTCATTGGAGAATGCTCGAGAGGCGCTAGCGAAAGTGTCTCCATCACTAACTGACTTCGATCTGGCCGACCAGCCTCATGCTGCCCACCAGTATGGGGATCATGGCCGCCAGTATAACCTGCTCGGCGAGGGTAGCCAGAGAATCGCGGATGGTCACTATTTCGAGGCGCGGGGAAATCAGACGTTCGGCATGTTCCCGCCGAAGAGTTTTATGAACAGCTCTGAAATCGCTGCTGGTCAATGAGATTTTAGCGTTATCCTAGCATCACCGTCTCCCAGCCCTAACATTATTTGCGTCCAAACTACACGGTTTTTAGACAAGCTCCTAACGTTCGTGCGTTGTAGGGGAATGGTCTCTTAACAGCCCCCACTGGTGCCAGGGCCGTGCGCGCCCTTACAGTGGATTGGGGGAGGCAGGGCATCTCTGGTGTGTTTCGCCCTGCAGATTTTTTTGGGCTTTGATATCGTTTTGTTTGTTTAGGTGGTCTGTCAGCCATCGGGGACCTCACCTTCCGGTCACTTAGAACGTTGGTGAGATGGACATGATAGGCATCTATGTGGGTGGTTAAAGATTGCTGAGAGAGATCCTGTTTGTATAAACAAAGCCTACAACTATAAAACTATATGGGTCTATTATGATACACCCCTACATCGTTCTTTAAAAAAAAGTGAATATATATATATATATATATATATATATAAAAGTACGGACCGCGCACAGGACTCAGAATTCTTCGTCGCTCTCTACCCTTAATATATTCGGTTACCGCTCTTATGGAGTTTCTTATTGATTTCTACTCAAAGGCTACGGGGATTTCAGCATCAAAGCGCGGATGTGCCCTTCTAATAAACCATTTACATAGGTACTGCACAAACGGCTTAAGCCGGGATGAAATAATTCAATCAAAGGACAATTGGTAGGTTCCAACGTGAGGACAATTTCTGCCTAATGCCCAAAGCTTTATATTCATGTATGGCATGGGACGTAATCCTTAATACCTAGGGCCTGTGCACAGCGCTTTGACGGTCGCGGGAGAACAGGTTCTCTCCCCTGGGGAGCCTATTGGTTTACACCGGCAACGCTTGACGATCACCGATGCTCGTAGGAAGTCAAGGCCCCGCCGCCCTATACGTGGTAGCCCCAGAACGACAGCAAAAAAAAGTATTAAAAAAAAAGAAAATAGGAGCTGTGAAAGCTAACTAGGTTATAAGGAATTTTGAGCCAGAATTTATGCTTATACGTAACGTTTGAGCAAGGTTTGCCCTAGGTTTGCGGGAACCCCTGATCTGATGCTAGGGGGATATAATCTCCCAACATTGCACGGCCGTAAGCAATGAAATGTGATGGGAAACCGGTGATTGATAGATCAGAGAACTCAAGTCAGATGATTTTAATTGCGCGGGGATTAAAGTCTAACTTTTTGCTATCAAAAACTCAAATTCACGGTCGCGAATCGGCGGTTCGCATGAGTCATGTATGAACTCATTACTTGTATATTAAAACCAGGGTTCCAGCCGTGGTAGCTCCTTTTAAAAAGTTCCTCCTGCAAATTTGTATGTTGATGTTTGGATGTGGGATTCCGATGTATATTGACTAAAGAAGTTAAGAAGCGCTTAGGCTCAGTCTCATGTTTCCCTTCCCACCACACACAACTCTACTACTTACTCCTAGTCGTATTCATTCGAGTCATTTCCCTACACAAGAGGTTGCAGATGGCAGCAAATCACAGCGAAGCCTGGGATGGGCGTTCAGTGAGTAGCACAAACGTGAGCCTCCCTGTGCTGCTATCCGAGAAGAGAAAGAAAAAAAAAAAAAAATATTAAGGGAAAGAAAAAAAAAAAACAAAAATAAAAATATTCCAAAAAAAAAAAAAAAAAAAAAAAAAAAAAAGGGAAAAAGCAAGAGAAAGAATCCATGGTCCAAGCTGACTGCAGTAATAGCAACTTGCATTCGTCGCCACAAAACACGATCCAGACGCGGAGCGGAAAGTTTCGTTATTCCCGACGAATGATCCTCGACTTCGATTTTCTGTAGCCAATATGTCTAATCAGAATTTCGCAGGGCTGCAGAGTCCTCCCACTTCCCAACAAGGAGGGATTCCTTGGAGACAGGCGGGTTCGTGGAATGCTTGTCAAACCCGTTTTGATACTGACAGGTTTTCTTCCTTCCCTAGATTCGGAGAGCGTTCACACCTCCTTTGAAGAAGATTGGAATCCTCGGCCAGCTATGCCCTCAACCAAGTTCCATTTCACCGACTGTACTTTTGCGGAATCACATGTAGTTAATGGAGATGTGGTTAAAGATGTCTCGCAGCAACGCACGCTATCCAACACACAATATCATTTTGAGAAGTCGAAGTTTGAAAATAAGAGCCAGGCTGTGAATGGGGATATAGAAGGGGATGTTTATCTGAAGATTGTGGACATTTACAACAAAAAAAACAGCAGCAGCAGCAATAACAGTTAAGCAACATCGAGTGGAGGGGCTTTATCCCTCCTTGTATGTCACCACGAATTATGGAATGGGTTTATTGGGGGTGCGGGAGAGAGAAGATACTCGCGAGAAAGTAGCAGTAGAACTAGGACTGCTGCCCTTGACATGTGTGGGCAGAAAGTATTAGATGAGTTAGAGCTATACAAGAGCTAAAGACAGGCACCAGCTCTTTCCCTTTCTGTTGATAGGATTCAAGCTATCTGGATGTGAATAATAATTCTGTTACAGGATTACTTAGAGCAAGTAGCCGAAGGATCCTCATTAAGGTTGCTGGCCGAAATCTCCTATCAATATTATGTATGTTCGCATATCCAGGCTGCGTATTGATTCGACTATGCCGATTTGTATAAGTTGAATCCAGCGAGTGGTTCATTTTGTGAAGCTTTGCAATTACACTCGCAGCTTGCATAGAGGGGGGTGTGTAGTTTACTCAATAGTTCGCTGTCATCAGGTTGTTCATCTCTGGTGGAAGCAGTTCTCATGTGGTGGTATCGTTAGAATCAACAAGCAAGTAGTTAACCTAAAGCTGCCTAAGCAATGCTATTATTGATGCTGTAAAATACAGCTTCAGGCCTCAGGGAAAGGGGTTGCTCATGCTTTTTTACCTATAATTTCCAAGGTAAACTCGAAATTGCGTTACCAAAGGTCTCTCACCATTGACATGCCATCTATCTAGTCTACTGCGATTTCTTCACCTGGTTCCACTGCTGCCTCAATTTTGTCTCACGCACTGCCAGCCCGAAGGAGCCGGCCGCCCTCGGGCCCAACACAATGGTACCAAGGAGGAGAAGCCCCAGGTCTCTCTTTTCCACGTCAGAAATCCTAGAATGGTGAGCATTCACCCCCCGTCTCGCTGCTTTGCTTTCCCTCGCTCTGGACAGGAGAAGATAAGGGAATACGATACAAGCCAGCGAGACCACAATCCAGTCAAACTGACTAAAAAAGTGGAACTGCTCCAGGACCTCGGCAGTTTTATTTGCTGTCCCTGTACCATCACTATTAATAGCGGATGTATTCGATCCCTGCCCAATCCATGACAAGGGCAGAGTATTTGCTGTTGCCAGTCGCTTCCAGGTCGGAACAAAGAGTCGAAAAAGGGATGCGTCTGGGTTACGCGTCTTCAAAGGAGTGATCACGGTGAACAAGTGCACCGTGTCTGAGATTACACCCGCTAAGATGTACAACCCAACTAGCCAGGGCTGGCCAGGGTGTCTTCGAGGGTTGTTTTCGGCTGGAGATCCAGTCAGAAAACGGCCTGCCGGAAACCGGAGTATCCGCGTGCTGATATAGAAGATGATGGCGAGAAGTATGGGTGTGGCGTGGAAGAGTGCAACCAACCCGTGGTGAGTCCAGGCGCTTGCTTGCAACCAGACGGGGGCAAAGACTAGAGAAGGGCACAGAATCGCAGAGATCAATGTCAGAAACAGGGCGATAGCTTCATGTCGGAGGATCGTTGGATCCCGCTGCTTAAGGTTGCCTTGAACAATGAGGTAAAAGATAATGGGGTTGAATGAGGGCAGCGCCGATGAAATTCCACAAGATCATGAACAGGAAGGGGGTACACATGCATTGTTAGCTAGCTCACGACAAAGGGCGGACTATCATAGTCTATACAACACACGTACTATTTCAATGCCGCACTCTGCACACCATGCCGACGACTTTCAATCATAACCCAGACATTCGTGCAGACGACAACGAAATTGATGTTGAAGAAGAGCATCCGCGGACCCATGGAGAGTCCGTTGCTGAGGACTTTGTAGAATGCAATTACCGGCACCATGCGATGATCCAATGCACCAATCCCCGTACAACTTATTCGCATTACGCGTCTATCTGGCAAGCGCCCGATGGCGACGATTGTATCGAAGCTATCGAACATGTGGCCCCAGCGCCCGACGAATCCCCAGAAAGAGGATACGCCGAGGATGCCCAGGGCAAGAAGATGGGAAGGTGCCAGGCGAATCGTTTGGATATCAATGGCTAACTGCGCTCTGCTGGCTCTTCAGAATATGCATGGTCAATCTAATATGCGCGATAGGTGTATAGAAATATACTGACAAAAGGCCGCAGCGTCGCGGAATATTGGCCATAGCGGAGGCGAAGCCCTAATTGATCCTGGCGCTGCGACGGCCGCCCCAACTCCGTCCCCGATCTGCGTTAAATGCGCATATTGGGCCGTTTGGCTCACCACGGAGTCAGCACGGAATGCTTCATGTCGCCGTAACGGACGTGTCGATTCCCGTCTATTCGGCCCGACAGTGTCCGTCCTGGGTGTGAATGGGTATGGGGTCCTGGTGGCACCCTTCTCCTCATAAAACACTTATCTGCCATCCCATGCGACAAGGATGAAATTACAATATCATACCAGCATTGCCGACTGACGAGAACAAAAGAATGATTGCCCGCATTACAGAATCCCCACCTCCCTCTCAATATGGGTCTCCATTTCGAGTCATCATTGTTGGTGCTGCAATGGCCGGCTTGACCTTAGCCCATTGCCTCGACAAAGCCGGCATCGACTATCTTGTGCTGGATAAGGGCATCGTGGCAACACCATTTGGGACGACTATTACACTTCAGCCGCATGGATGTCGGATTCTCCACCAACTTGGCATCCTTGATGATGTGCTAGACAGCTGCTCGACCATGGGCAAATGCTACTACAGCGCTCCAGATGGACACTGCTTCTTGGAAAATGATTTCATTCCCATTGTCAAGAAATAGTAGGTCGACGTCCGGCAGGAAGACTCAGCTGTTGAAGATGAGTCCTAACCCTCGTGTTTCAGTGCAGGATATGACACACGCACGATGAACCGACAGCTTTTCTTACGTATTCTCTATAATCGTCTTCCTGATAAGTCGAAAGTCTTTGAGCGCCATCGTGTGGTCGATGGTATCGAGGAGAGAGACTCTGCCCGCGTAGTCCTGGGAGATGGTATCGACCACATCGGGGATCTGGTTGTGGGAGCCGACGGCGTGCATAGCAAAGTGCGTGAGATCATGTGGAAGAACGAGAACAAGACAATCCCGCATTTCATTGCCGCTGCCGAGAAGCGATGTACTAGAACCATACCCACATCTCCCGGGAAATATGTTCAAAGCTGACAGCTCATTCCTCCCTCCAGCTATGGTCACCACCTACAACGCCATTGTAGCCCAGGGTCCACCAATCCCCGGATTGGGTCCCCACGACATGCACTCAACCTTGAACGACCGTTTCTCCTTCCTTCTCCTCTGTCAGCCGACCTTCATCTCCTACATCGCACACTGCAAACTCCCTGAAGACCAGCAGTGTGTATGGCCGAATCGCGCGCGATATACCGACGACGACATGGAGGCCCTGGCGCGCAAGCTAGCCGACTATCCGATCTGCGAGTCGGTGGTCTTTGGAGAGCCATGGCGCACCCGCACCAAGGCCCAGCTTATCTCTCTGGAAGAAGGTGTTCTCGACCACTGGTTCTTTGGTCGGACGGTAATGGCCGGCGACGCGATCCATAAGGTAACCCCCAATTCCGCGCTGGGCGGCTGCACGGCAATGGAAGATGGCGCAGCAATCACCAATCAACTCTATCAGCCGCTGAGCCGACACCCGAACAAGAAACCCTCGACTGGAAATCAGTGCCGCTATGCAGGAGTACCAGGACTCGCGATTGGATCGCGTTAAGACGATCGTTAATGTCGGCGGCCATCTCACGCATCTGCAGGCCTTTGACGGATGGTACTTTTACATTATTTAGCGCTGGGTCACCCCATGGATTGGCCTGGACACGCTAGCGGTCAACATAGCCAAGCTGTGCAGTGCTGGCACGAAGTTGAGCTTTGTCGACTTTCCAGAGCAGAAGGGGCTTCTGGGATGGCAGGATACCCTGGCGATCGAGGAAAAAAGGAGACGGCGGTCGGGCAGCAGCAGCAGATGGAGCTATCACAGAAGTGGTGGTACTGAAATGGGGAGCTGCAGCAGATTTGGCCCTTGTTGGTGGGATTTTTCCTGTGCCTTAGTTCGACACTATTATGGCGCTTGCCGAGAGATCCCCATCATGTGTGGTTCGGGATTGAGGTGGCTCATTGATTCTATACACGTGGACGACTACCTAGGGGAGAGAAGGTGGAAATTCTCAAGATTCTGTATCACCCTAAGCGTCTGCAAACTCACAAAGTCCATCATGACGAGTTACCGGGCCAAGGAAGGAACTTAACTCTTGTGGTACGTATTCCAATCGTAAAATAGGTCCGATGAATCATAGCGAGTTACGAGAAAGCGTACCTACCCATCATATGTGCTACTTGCCTACTAAAACTTGAAGGGTAGGGGTCAACGCCATAGAGGTTGTTGTAAGTAGTCGGCGATTCGCGTTTGCTAGCAAGAAACTATCCCCAATCTCTATATTTAGCTTCATATCTAATGTGAAATCTGAATGCAAATCTTAGGTCCCGTTGTTGTCAGTGCGCTTTTTCTGTGATCCTCGATCAGAGGAATCTTGAGGTCTGCCCATTTAAGCTTGGGTTATGCTCGGTCAAAGGGAAGACCATGGAGCCATATCCACGGGTAACATAGCCCACTCAACGCAAATCAAGGAACATTGGATCATTCCCCGGAACGGGACTCGTGTTGTGATTCATCCCATTTCGCCAAGGCAGTCACCGCAGCACTGCTTGCTTGGTGCCAATACCCATCAGGCTCCTCAACACGGTCCAGAGCGGCGCGTAGCAAGCGCAGGGAGTCAACGATACCGATAGGAGTCGTGTCACCATTGGCTAGACTGCGACTTAGGGCAATTAGGCTCATAGAAATGGGCCAGCCAATGAACGTCGCCTGGAGCGTGAAGTGATCACGCTAAAACGAAAGTCAGATCAGGCTCATGGGAAGAAAATATGAAGAGAGGTGAAGGAGTTACCTCCGACCGCTGAACAGGCCAGTTCATGCGAATGGCTCCGAGAATCTTAAAGGCTGCGGCGGTACTACACTTACGACTTTCAGCTGCAACGAGCTTGGGCAAGTCTTGCTCTTCAACCTTCCGTATCGCTGCCTCATGGAGGTTAATGTGTGTTGCGCATAGATTGAGGTGCAGTGAAAACGCTAACGGATCTTCACGGACGGCTTTAGCAGTCAGGTATCGTTGGAAGATGGAGGTGTAGTCATTAATTGTCTTAACTAGGCGGTAATGGCGGTCCCAGAATCCCGAGTCGCTAACACTGCGCGAGAGAATACTAACGTGCTCAAAGCACAGGCGAGCAAGCTTAACCATGACGGTCACCGCGGCATAGGAGGTCAAGTAACCGACCCCAGCAAGTTTTGTAGGGTCGCTGATAAAGGGCATCGGGCTAGGCAGAAATGTCTCGTTGAGTTCACCAGGGGACGGAAGAAAGATATACAAGTTGTCCTCGTCTAGAGTGCAAGGTCGACCAATGCGAACGCTCCCATAGCTCTCGAATATGTATAAGGACCAGAAAGAACGACGAATCTCCTCCAGCGAGGCCGGATCGCGTGTGACGCTGGCTAATCCTATTTCGGTGGCATCCTGCTCAGGCCCTGTGCGCTGCTGTTGAGCTGCGTCGCCGCTATCTATGTGATGCAGGTTGAGGATTTGAGCCAGTGTAACAGCGCGGCCGAGGGTCATCCAAGCGCGGACAAAGTGCTTTTTGGTCAATTCGTAGCGAACAATGAATAATAACGCTTGAAAAGAATTTAGACTCATAATATACGTTTCGTCGTCGTCGCGCTCACAGAGTTCGATGTATTTGCGCGCATTGTTGTAGCAAGGTGATTGTAGATGGACGTATTCTGGGGTGATCGTTGCGCCGATCAGGGCCACAGCGTAACTTAGGCCCCGAATACGGGAGGAGCCTGGATCATGGGTCCATTCTCGGTGAAATCGCGATGGATTTAAGATTGGTAAAACAGGATAGAAAACATCGAAGTATTTATGGTGTCTGTGTCAATTGGTCAGTTGTCTTGTCCTCCAGGCAAGGAAGAATTGGGAATACTTTACAGGACGGCAAGATCGGACAGTGGGATGGGTTCCTCTAGCTCATGGGTTGAGGAGAAGAGAGAGCTTTCGAAAGCAGAAGGAACAGAGCTACCGCTCCCAGTAGGGAGATAGCCACTCTCGAATGGATTTGGAAGGTGAGTATCACCCGACAGGATTGGAAGAGCATCAGGAGTCAGAGTTGGATCCATTACTCCCCAAAAATCGGGAATATCCCCCGTCAGGTTTGCTAACATGTCACATCCCTCAAACGCACGATCAATTTGTGGGGTGACATGGCGCTGGAGCTGCTGCATTAGCCGTTCATGGTCACCTAGCCGCTCTGAAGGCGTCATCAATGGCCAGGATACGTCTACATGGGGGGTAAGCGGCTGAGCGGTGGTAGCAGTGGATGTTGTCGAGGGTGTTGTCCGCAATAGGGCTTCTGCATGCGCTGAGGCAACCGACGAGGATCAGCACGAACCCGATACATTCGACAAACAACATGTTATTCTGGGGGCAGCATTTACCTAGTCGGTTCTGTAATTCAGATAATTGGCGTGGCATGTCCGCTTGAGCTGCACGATATCGCTTCCGTCCCGTATAGCTGCAGTCGTAGCCAAGCCGCGCACAACGGCCACATTTGGGATCCCCCCGGTCACAGCGGACCTTTCCTGTGGATAAGAGTCAACACGGTACTTTGGTTGCTTTTCAGGGAGGGCTCTACATACGTTCTCTACAAATATCACAGGCTAATCTTCCAGAGGTCTTCAAAGCGCGTTCTTTCTTGCTGATGGAAGAAGAGTGCGATTTGCGACGGTCGCCGCTACGGTCCTCCATAGATGCCGCGCTGGAGTCTGATCCGTCAGCCACACGGCGCAGCATGGTGGTCGGAGAAGATTTTCTGTGAGTTGAGACGGGGATCATCTGGGAGATATGGGCTGGTCGAGAAGCATGCTTTAAATGAGAGACACTGATGAGATCAGATTTCCTTTCCTTTGGTTTCCTTAAACCTTATTGCCAAGCCTTGACAAGGAGGGGTGAACAACAGCTGCAACTGCCAGTCCCTATGCTAGTTCTAGTATGGACTGATTTAAGAGGTAGTTGAACAATAATGGTCTTTGGTTCATGCCTTAGATCACATGACCTCTGAGTAAGGTGCATGACAGCCTTGAAAGAAAAACAAATTTTATAATGATAATTATAAATAAGATAACATGAATCGTAATTCAATATTTATATATATATATATATATATTTCCAATTCTTTGGAAGGAGTCAATGGTGCATGCGTAACCATCCACCTTCCTAGCAACGCCAACAAATCCTCAGCTCTACTAGGTAGTACTGGTGTGTTGACCACTCTGATAGAAAGTGATTGTACATAGGTATGGTCGGGGCTCACCCGGGGAACGATCCTGACGGGAGACTCAAGACCCACAGTGACTACGTACTAGCATAAATCCTCATATAATCTCAAACCTCGACATACTATCAACTAAACGGTGAACTGGTAATATAGAGTTTCGCGGCTCTCGTGCATCTGCTTTCGGAAAATGCCCTAGACAAGCTGCCAGCCACATACATAGTGCGTTGCAGGGTTAACACGTGTACAAGACAGTGCAATCAATGAATACCCTACTACTACTGATAAGCACTAGGATGGCTGTGTTTGGCCAGGGGTTTGGGTCGTTACGCCCAATAGAAAAGGTCCCCAGCGATATTGAGGACCTATCCATTGGTAATCGCTTACCCAATTGCGTATGCCAAGGTAAGTCAGATTAGGGAGGCATAAAATACTATATAAATATTTACTGGTCCACAGGACCACAGCGTGCGAAGAACATAGAAGCCTTGATATTGGAAAGAGCCCCATATACAACTACAACTAAGCAAGTTCAATTTGTAGTAATCAAACTCGTTATAGATATAGTGTAACCCTATATTGTTGCAGTGGGAGGCCTTGACCACGGGTGGAATAAACTTAGTTTGGTATCATCGAAGGCAACGAGGGCAATCATGAGTACTCCTTCTATCCGATGAAGAAGGAATGTATCTCTTCAGACGGCTTCATCTCCGGGAAAGCTATCCACAACTACCTGGTCAGGTTCGCCAAAGATCATGATTTCATGCGTCACGTTCGCCTTCAGACTCGTGTGACTGAAGTGCGCAGAAATGCCAACCACCAAAGCTGGATCGTGGAGACACGGTCTGGAGAGCGACCAATTCAATGCAATAAGTTGATCTATGCCACGGGGGCTAGTTCCAGCCCAATCCGACCGGAATGGCCTCGAGAGAATTTCGACAAACCCCGTCAACCACTCGCTAGCCATGGCCACAAATTTGTCCCTAGTTGAGAGCGACACAATCCAGCGAGCCACAGTGGTGGGAGCTTCAAAATCATCTTATGGCACTTTATACTAGCTGCTCAAAGCTGGGAAGAAGGTTGACTGGATTATCCGACCCAGTGCCTCCGGGGCGTTTTCCATATTCGCCCCGACGTTCATGGGCTTGTGGCATACATCGGATCATATATCTACTCGATTTGCATCCAGCTTTAGCCCTACTATCATGAGTTGCACTGGGCTCTGGGATAGCTTCTGGCAGCGCACTATGTTTGGGAGATCTCTTACGCGTGTCTATTGGCCAGTTGCCACGGGCCTGGCAGCGGGATATGCGCGGTTCGGGGATAGTGAACATACCGAGCATCTGCGGCCTTGGCCTCACACGGATGGGTGCGGGCTTTCTCTCTTATTATACAATCAAGATTTATAAGCTGACGCCTGGATATAGGCTTTTCTGGGGCAGTGGGGGTATCGGGATCGCGACTGTGCCCGACTTTTGGCAGGTCATCCACGACAGCGACATCACCGTCCATCGCACGGAGATAGAGTCACTCTCGCACCTTGATATGGTCAACCTAAAGAACGGATTTTCCGTGCCGACTGACATAGTGATTCATTGCACTGGGTTTGAGAAAGGTTATAACACGTTCAGTCCGCTGCTGCAGGAAGAATTAGGTCTCCATTACGACCCGCAAGCGATATCTTGAACAGGAAAATAAACATTCATATTTTATTCACGACTACATCTCGGTAAGCTAGTCACCCCCTACGTTACACCGTATCATCGGTATGGATTACTGACAGGGGTCATTCTGCCTCAATAATTAGTACCTGGACACTCTCATGAAAGACCCTGGCCTCAATCCACGCCGGAAGAAGACTCTCTTCGAAGAATTGTTCATTTCGTACCGGCCACAAGATTATCGAGGGCTGATTCAGGAGTATTTGACCGACCATTCACGTAGAATTCCTGAGGAGAAGGAAACCCAAGACAGGAAGTGAAGGTGGCTCTATCAAAGAAGGAAACGAGCTGTCAAATGGACATCGAGAGTTGACAATCGATGATGAGCTTACACGGACTTGAGGCGGCCGGTCTGGCGCCAAGACACGGAGTTGGAGCGGCCGTTCGGAGCCCTAACTGGCCATTTTGGGCATTCTATATAAACAGATAGATGCAGCAACGCCCGAGTGAAGTGTTCTGTCTTTTGAATTTTTGTATACTGTAAGCTTGAATGTGTATGATTCACTAATTTCTTCTTCTTCTCACTGCTCCCCTTCATCATGCCTTTCGTCGATGCAGACCCAGAAAAACAGGGTAGCAACGGCAACGTTTCCAGCACGGGCTACAGCGAGAATGTCGTCCCTAAAGAGACGTCACCCCGTCCAGTTCATGGATGGAAGGTATATCTTTGCTAGCCCTTACTACGAAGACAGTAACTGATTTTGAGGAAGTGGGCCATTGCATATGGTTCAATGATCTCGACTACGTTTCTATTCGCACTAGACAATACCATTGTACGTAATCGTATTCCCTATACCCCAGCTCCTTATATTTAACGAATCCAAAAGACTATAGCTAAAGGGTGATAAAACAGGTCGCCGACATTCAACCCGTGATTCTCGACTTATTCGGCGAAGTGTCACTTCTTCCATGGATCGGAGTCGGGTTTGCTCTCGGCACTATGTGCGTACTACCATGGGGCAAGGTCTACGGAGTATTCAACGTCAAATACGTCTATCTGTTCAATATCGCACTGTTTGAAATTGGAAGCGCAGTGTGTGGCGCGGCCCCGAATATGACTGCTCTCGTGGTCGGCCGTGTCATCGCCGGGGTGGGCGGGTCGGGGATGTACTCGGGGACGCTAAGTTTTGTGGCCATGTTGACCTCACTGAAGGAGCGACCAATCTATATGGCTGGAAGCACCGTTATCTGGGGAGTCGGAAGTGTTCTTGGCCCGGTGGTAGGTGTATCCATCATTCAACGCCATTTGATGAGTGATTGAGCACGGAGATTGATGGTTCTAGGTCGGTGGTGCGTTTGCAGATAGCTCTGCGACATGGCGATGGGTAAGTTATCGCAACGTCTGACAAGGATCATCTTACTTCTACTCATATGTATGTATTTCTAGGCATTTTACATCAATCTCCCTATTGGAGCCGTCTTCGCCCCATCCTACCTCTTCCTCGTCCCCAGCGTCGACCCGCAGCCGTCCAAAAGCTGGACAGAAAAGTGTCATATGGTAGACTGGATCATGACGACCATGTTCCTTGCAGGATCTGCCAGTCTGGTCATGGCTATCACGTTTGGTGGCACGCTGTATGCCTGGAGCTCCTCGAACGAGATTGTCCTCTGGGTTGTAGCGGGAGTCCTTCTAATCATCTGTATTGTCCTGGCGAAATTCCATCCAGGTGTGGATAAAGATAACCGGCTCTATCCAGCGCATTTCTTTAAACGACCTATCTTGATCAACCTTCAGCTGCAGATGTTCTTGGTGTCTGGTATTGTGCTAGTGCGTGATACCCCGTCTCTAATTCAGATAAATGCTAACAGTGCATAGGCAATGACCTACTATATTCCATTATTCTTCCAGTTTATACGAGTTCGTGACCTATTATCTTGAGAGTGGCTTATTAGTACAGAACTAACTGAGAGTTTACTCACTAATAGGGAGACGGCCCCTTGGACGCAGGCGTCCGCCTTCTCCCCTTCATCATCTCCATGGTCGTCTTCGCCATGGGCAACGGAGCACTAATGCCCAAACTACCCTACATCCTACCCTGGCATCTCTTCGGCAGTGCACTTGTCGTTGCCGGAACAGGACTACTGTGTCAGTATTCACTATTCTTCCCCCCTCCCCGCGCGCCCAATATCCATAATCATAACACACAGAATAAGAACTAACAAAATAGGGAGGGATGGGGGACACACAGACACCGCAGACCTCAACACCTCCAACGCCAAAATCTACGGATACAGTATCCTTGTCGGAGCCGGATCAGGATGCTACGCCGTCGCCGGGTTCGCCGTCGTCCAATCCCTCGTTCCACTAAAGGAGATACCGAATGCCGTGAGTGCAATGGCAATTTGTAAGGAGGTCCCTAGAAGTCTAGTCCCGCCTGGGATATATGCGTATGCTAATATTTTGTGATGCTGTTATAGCTCAGGACCTAGGCATGGTTATCTTCCTCGCTATGGCTGGGTCTATTTATCAGAATCTTGCGTTGCAGAAAGTGGCCCAGACTATGCCAGCGCTGAGTGCGGCTGATATCACGAATCTCGTTGCTGGGACGAGTAGTCGCACGTATAAGGTGTTGTCGGAGGAGGAAAGAGCTCTGGTCACGCCGCAGATTACGGATGCCATGAGTAATGTGTGGTTGTTCTTTTTGGTGGCTGGGATATTGAGCTTTGTTCTTACGCCTCCTTTGGGGGTGAGTTAATTCCTCTCTGAGCGTTTGGGGAAAGAGAGAGATGAAATGCGGGCTAACTAGCGGATCTTACAGAAAACTAGGTTAAAAGGAGCGAATTCCACTGAGGGAGTGGCTTGAAGACTGTTATTGACGAGAGGGTATATCTATGACTGTTGCATCATGGTGCAAGTGGAATACAAATTGGTTCTTTTCTTGCTTTTCTCGGGACCGTATTTCACTTGTTTTCGAGTTTTACTCATGATTAGATGTTACAACAGGTGTTTTTTGTTTCATATCATGGCTATAGAGTGAATTTCAAATGGAATACGCTGAACAACTAGCGTACCAAGAGGCGTCTATAAAGCCAAGTCACATTCAAGATTCATGAAACATTATATTCATCTAATCGTACAGAGCCATATCATGCCATGACCGTAGCTTCTAATGAGACAATTAATGGTGTATCCTTTTCAAGACTCCAAGTAGAGCCTACTCCTTCCAAAGAGATCCCAAGCAAGACATCATCCAAAACCCAACCCTCCATGCGTGGCAGCCCAATCATCAGGCAACCTCAAATCCTTCGGCAAACGATACTGCCCGACACAAGAGCCCGGCGACACACACCGATCCAGATCACACCTCCCATACAACCGACAATAACAATCCTTGGCAGACGGACAAGCCTGATGATTCAACGCCTCCAAATCCACCCCCTCCGAAACCCCCGACACGGGATTCTGGTCAATAAACAAAATATGCCAGACGTAGGACAAGACACGACCGGAGATGCGATCATCCAGCGGCGCCGCATTGCGATGAGTCCCCGCATCCAACAACCACTGGCGCAACGCGACATACTCCTCCCTAGAATGGCGACGGATGTTATCTCTCGCGACGACGAATTGTGCACAGCATTGCGAGCGAACGGTGTGCGTGCGACCCAGCTTGGCCTGGCTGCCGGCGCCCGGGCCGAATAGGGCGTGGAGGGCTTTGGGGAGCGCGACGTCGGATACGGCGCGCGCGCTCCAGGGCTGGAGGACCGCTTTGAAGGCGTTTTCAAGGCCGCCTTGCGGTGGGACATGAGAGGGACAGGTGCTGAGACTCCAGTCACAGCGGAGGTTGTGGTAGCCCCATGGTTCCAGGGCGGTGGGGATGTTGAGCGCGGCGAGGAGGTCGGCATTGTCGTACTCTGGGTGGTCGTTGTGCCATGCGAAGCGGGATCCGTGGGCGAAGACGGCGCCGCGCGTGGGGATCTGATCGTAGTTGTCGATTATGAAGGTCAGGTAGGTCATGGACTCGTGGCCGCGGTTTGCCGGGACCTGCAGGTATTTGGACTTAGGGTCCTCGGGTGCGTCGACGGCGTATACGCAGAGGTGGTACTTTTTGTTTAGGGCTTCGAGCCAGGAGGGATCGCCGTCGGCTTCGACTCGGGATATCACGAGGGCCGGTTTCGAGGATTCTTTGAGGCCTGGGCAGATGCCGCGGGCTGGCGGGAGAACTCCCGAGTTCGTTTGGTAGGTGACTTTCGTCCATGGGTATGTTTCGGGGTTTTTCTTGAGGGGCGAAGGTGAGGACGAGCGGTTCAGGAAGAGGATGAGGAATAGGATACACCCGAACACGGTGAGGTGGGTGAGGGATTTTCGAAATTTGCGTCTCATTTTTCACCGGATCATTTTTTTCATTGGAGGTTTTATAGGTATACCGTATATTATGGCATCTTGGGGTTGGTGGTGGTGAAGAAGCTGAACAGCTTCACATTCTGTGCTCGAGGTGAGAGAAACTCGGGACACGATTGAAAGAACCGCGTGCGGAGGTTTGGCTCCAGATGCCGGTGTACCCGAATTCTTATACACATTCCTACAGAACCGCTAGGGGGGATAGTCTCCACTTTTAGTTCACTCTTACATGAACCTACATCTATCTAACTTAACACATCAAAAGAACAAAAAGCTCTACATTCTCTCGTGTTCAATCAACAAAACAATCCAATTGTGACAAGTCAAGATTTGTTAAGCTAAGCTCTCCCATGAGCCCGGATTTCAACTTCAACCGTTGCGGATCACCGCCAAGCCTTCGGGTTCTACTGATCTATAACTACCTAGTACAGTAACCTAGTAAGGGATATTGAATATCTAGGTATGATTGAGTATATTATGTGAGGTCACATCATATCCAGAAACGCTACTCTTGGAGGCGTTCTCATCGAGAAAAGCCATACATAGGCAGGCTCACCTGAATGAACGAATGCTAAATACAGAGCAAATCCAAGACTCTAAAGCTCAACTGGTATTTCCCCAAAGCCTCACCGAGTCCAAGTAAAAAGCCACTTAAATGTCGGCGCTGACAGTGATGACCGCATCGTTGTAATCATCATCAATGTTATCTTCGCTCGCAATCTTCCACTCCATTTTTCGAACTTTGTAGTCGGTATCGTAAACGGTGTTGTAGACGGGACGCAGCACTTTTGACGTTCGAAAGGAGTCCTCTGCGCCAGAGATCGAGTTCTGGAAGTTGAATTTCCATGTGCGGAATCCAGTGGCCTGGATCGCCTCAAGGTCGACGCTCTCCTTTCCTCCCGCAAGTGTCATGGCCTTGCCTTCACCGCTGCCTTCGAAGATGTACTTTTCTTTGCCTTTGCCAATCTCCTCGACGGTGACCCTTTGGCGGAAGTCTGCATTTGTCTCGCCGACGATGTGGACTTTTGCATTCTCCGGGATGGTGATGACCACTGGGCCTTCGGGGTGGATCATGTTGGCGCTGGGCTGCATTTTGACAAATTAAAAAGGGTCTGATATGGAAAAATTGGTGGTAAGCTAGAGGGGGTAAGCAACTAGTATAAGAGCTGTATCCAAGGAACGCAGCAGACCTTCGAGTGGGTTGAGGAGCCTTAGGAGCTATTGGGTGAGCATGAACTTGAGCTTGGGTAGATTAGCTGTTAAAGGCCGGCAACACCTGGATTTATATGGTTCAACCGTCGATTATCCTGCTCCTTTGCCAGCTTGAACTGTAACAATAGTGGCGCCACGTACACCAAAAACAAATTCGATATTGCAGGCTGTGTTCGATGGAGATCAAGAAACAATCCCTGCCATCACAGGTCGTCAGACATGTATTCTGTATGCGTAAATGCCTGAACGCTTCCTGGACAAGCGACGCTATCCAGAATTGAATGCATGTCCCAGCAGACACAACAATATGGAGGAGAAAAGCCTTGCCAAATACAGTAATCGAAGCCATTTGACTGTATATCCCGATCACGAGCGACCGGATTACCTGGGACGATACTTGCGATACGTCCGATTTATGCAGCGTGGGCGATGAATTGGCCTGCGTGTCAGGCCGCCTAGTGACCATTCTCAGTCAATGCCTAGCGTTAGAGGTGAGGACTTTTGAATGTTATTTGTCTTTCTCAACCATGGCGGCGCCACCAACAGACAAATCATACAATTTCCCCGACGGATATCCTGAAGTGTGAATCTAAGAGGCCCATCTAGAGCATGAGAAATGTAGTAGTGCCTTAGCAGATGTAGGTATCTCCAGCAAGGATCATAGCATTTGCCCAAAATGTAGAGCGATGGGGATAGAGTGACCAAGTCGTGGTTCTTCTTTGCAAGTGCTAGTTGGGCAAGAACACGGCGCAGTGGATGCGAAGACGGACAATAGGAACCATAAGACCAATCAATGAGAACATTGGCATCTTGAGGGGTTTTCCCTTGCTGGTCTCCCTACGTAAGGCAAGCCCTACACCCCTGCAACCTGTCAAAAGTGGGATGTACTATCATGTATCTCCTCCTTCACCCCGCCAATAACTAGGCAACATCATATGCAATCAAGCAACACTAGGACAACATTCGCGTATTTGTCGAGGCACACAAACTACACCAAAGATCGAAATGGTTCGGTTGAATGCTCGCGACAGTAGCGCATATCTCAGGGAAATAAATTAGTTGCATCCGCTCTTGTCGACGAGATTATAGAAAGGAAACGGGAAGATAAACTCATGAATGCCTTACCCGTGCTTGCAGGCCATCACTGCACGTGCCGTGGGCAGATCAAGGAACAACGCCTTTCACTTGCATGGGTTCTTGGAATGCCACGCTGGACATGCAGCACGTCACGTCCCTCGTTTGCTGGCTTCCCATATTACCCCACTTTCCAAGCTAGGGCTTAGAGGATTTCGAACTCTTGCAAAAGAAGACATGCATTGGACACTGTCCCTCTACCTGGTTGACCACCATATACAGACGAGAAGTTGAGGGCTGTGCCACGTCAGGCATATTATGCTACATTGTCACTGAGCTAGTCTCATGATGTTCAGTACACTTGGAATTTCTCGGACTTTTGGATTGGATGGAGGGGCAAGGAAGAACTGGTCAAGATGCTTGCAAGTCCGGAGATGGCAGAAACGGAAAATATCGGGAAATGCATAATGCAGTCAATATTGGTATCTTGAAAGAAAACACTCCTATGGAATGTGAACAGGTGTGATCTGGTGAAAAAGAAGGGTAAGAGAAGGAGAGAGGAAGCGAGAATAGAAGAGAAATAAAAATAAAAATAAAAAAGAAAAGAAAAAGAAAAGAAAAAGATGCAATACTACTAAAGCAGGTGCATCATGCTTTGCTAGTACGACAAATCAAAACAAAACGTCAAGGCTCCCCCGTACATGGTGACGAATACAGATGCTATCGCTAATGGCGACCGATGTGGAGAAAACATCCCCCAACATAAATTGTAAAACGAAAATATATCAGAAATTAGGGTATTCCCGACGCACAGTTATCACAAAAGCATTATCAGTGGGTAATACTAAAGGGCTGTTCCACCAGAGCATGGTTTGCATTGGTCAGGGGCCCTTCGCTTTTTAAAAAGGCCGGTAATCTTTTGGAAAAGAGTAGGCTTATTATTGGAGGGTGAAATTGTTTCTGTGTGGCTCTTCCAATTCGGCGTAGTTGCTTTGCTCTTGTGTGAGCAGGACGTTTCGAGTCTGGAAGGGATGGGTTGGTGCTCCGACTGGGGATTTTTGTGCAGGAAGGCTTGTTTCGGTGTCTGGGGCAATGCATTCGTGCTGGATTCAACCACATTAGATTTCATCTTTGCCATGACCGCTTGTTGCAGATTGAGGTTACGCTGCGCCTCTTCGGCAGCTGTTAGAACACGCGCGACTCCATTGCCATCGATGATAACTCCGGGCTCGTTTTCACTCTGCCCGGATTGTGATCGGTCCAGTCCTGCCATAGTCCCTGGCCTATCTCCGAGAAACCTCGACTGGGTAATTGGTCCTGGCTGTCCACTTTGAGTGAGGCCGCTAGAGACTCCAAAGCTTGGCGAAGTGCTATCAAGGAATGTTGAAGGTGAGGTAAAGCTCGGAATTCCGTCCGAGTCTAAGCCAACATCAGGATTAAGGAATACTTCCATGTCCTCTAATGCCTCATTTGAAGTTAGGCCTGAGTTGCATGTGCCAGCAAGGAATGACATCGTATCCTGGTCTTTCGTTTGAGCGTCTCTTATGGAACTACCCATCATGTTTTGCTTTTCGTCTTGTGGGGAATCCTTGACTGGTGATTGGCTATTTGATTCTTCTGCATTACTGGTATCGGAGCCAGAGGTGGTGCTCCTTACCTGACTGCACAGAGATCCCGATGTGCGCTCATCGGAGTCGGAGCGTGCATCGGAGTGAGATGACTTCAATAACCGCATCGTCTGTCTGCTAGGTTGTTGGGTTAACCCAACACCCGAGTCAAGCTTATCTTTCATGGCGGCGACCTCGGCGCCAACCTTTGGAGAAAAGTATTTCGAATCAATTTGCGGTACCGTTCCTTCTTGTGCGGCGCTAGAATGGTCTCTTTTCTCACTTCCCAGACGTGTCGACGGATTAGATGATTGGTTGGCTGGCGGTGACGGCACGCCACGTTCAATTCGGTATACAAGTAATGAGCAAGCATATCTGATGTCCGACTCTAGCTCCGGGCTAATGTATTGACAATGGGTAGAAGGAGATGATGGCTCATTATAGCCGTGGGAGTCCACCAAGTCATAATATCGAGTCGGTTGTTCCTGGAGTAGTGAAAATGTGGGTTTCTAAGGGGTGTTTATGAGCCTCTATTATACGGGATATTATGGTCTAGGCCAGACTCACTTGTATATGTAACAGTTGGGAAATAGATCCACGCCTATTCATACTCGTGCCTTTTCTCCTGAGAAGAGACTCCATTGTGGATGACCGAAATACTGAATAATAATATGGCCACGACCGAGATGTAACACACTTGGATTGAAAGAGGGTACTGATATTGTTCGAGTAGAGAGAAAAAGAGAGGACAGTGATCACTATTCACCGGGCGATGTCGTTTTATTCGGCTATATTTCTGGTCCCTGACCAGGCAATCTTAACAATCCGGTTCAACAGTGCAAGAAAGCGTGGGGCAACCAGTCCCAACAATGGTCGATTGAACCACGAAGTCGATCACAAATGAAAAACAGGAGAAAATAAATCGTTCACGGAAGGTGTTCCAGAATGAAAGTCGAAGTCGTCTGAAGCGATGGCCTGGAATGTGGGGGCAGCCTAACTAGGCTTATATCGAAGGAATGTCGCTACCAAAAAAAAAGATCCAGAACCAGATCTATGGTCAAGATGAGAAGTATGCTATGACGAAAGAAATTAAATAGTAACACGGAGTGCGTTTGGGGGTCGAAAAGCGCCGGGTCGCAAGCCACGCATGAGGGAACTCCGGTATCAATACAAGGCGACAGGGCAAGCAGGCATCGTAGCCCCAGTGGAGGAGGGAAGGATAGTCACAAGCTCGGTTAACACATGAGCGATTAATTGGTTCCCGAGGACATGGCCAAAAGAGTGGAGTGTACAGAGTAGTATCACCGAGGAAAGGAAGCAAAAGCAAAACGGTTAACAATGGTTGAATGACAATATCACGGGACAGTGGAACCCTATGAGTACACTTTGAGTTCCTCAAACTATAAAAGTCATAATAGTTAACGACTTCAGGCTGTTAGTCATGTCCCAGGAAGTTTGAAACAAAAACATGCATTTACTTTCGCTTAGGAAAAAGGAATACCCCTAATGGCCGCTCAAGGGATGCCATCTGCCGTGTACAGACTTTTAGCACGAAAACCGAATCCGGACCCTCAGCTGCATAACCTCCAAACTGGGGAATTAGTTCAATGATCTTCAAAAGGAAACAAGGAACGGCTTTCTCCACATTTCATGGGGTGGGCCGGGAGATCATCTGGATCAATAAGCCCGGGGATAGATAGCTCATATCTGACCACCTTACATTTCATAACTAGCACCATCAGTGTTCATGCTGAGAAGGGTATTGCTATTCTACCATATCTCACAATCGTACAACGATTCTTCTGTTATTGAATTCTTTCTCCTGTGAGCAAGCGAGGAGGCAAAAAGGGGGGAGGGAATCAAGGGGTTGGCCGGTGAAGGTCCGAGATAGAGATCGTCAATTATCCTCCCAATCGGGCACTTCCAAATCATTGCCTGACGACCTCAATTACTGGTCCATTCACCCCATTGGTTATGCAGGGAGACTATAAACTCTGGCTCCCTTTCCTGCAGGAGAGAAAAAAGAAATTTTTTCAATTTTTTTTTAAGAGCAAAGACTAGCTCTACTAACGTTACGCTTTGTTTGCGCCAAATGTCTCGAACGGCTTACCAGAGTTACAGTAGCCACATACCAATCCAGATTCAAAGGCAATGTAAACACATACGGACATATGGTACGGAGTACAGAGTACCCTGCGTCATTCTAGCTCCAATAATATTACTACTTATATTCGACGGGTCAAATTTGAGTCCGTGTAAGACAGTCAATAGTTTCGCCATAGGTTATGTCCCTTTTGTCTGCATAAGTCTACACATTCCGCGGTCGAATCGTTGGACAAATAGGCCCATGCACCTTGGATACTTCTCCGTCTGCTCCCATCTTAGCCCGGGAAAGTCAAGTGAAGGAGAAAAAGCAAAGAGACGAGCATTAGCAACAAATTAGTTTCTTATTGCACATATCACATGTCCGAGGTCCCCGGCAAGCGCTCGGAAGTAACCGCCGATCTCTTTCTTCCCCAACAGTTCCCGCGACTTGCGCACGGAATCTCCATCTTCAGAATCCTCAAAATCATACCCCGCACTTTAGCTTCAACTTTCCATTGAGGTCATGCGTTCCCCATGTTTTTTTTTTCCTAAGGAATTGAGTTCTGTTCGCTGACCAAAGATTAAGGCAGAGAGTGCTTCGACAGGGGGCTCAGGCCCCCCCTAAGAAGCAGCTGCAACTTCGTACCGTGGTTGACTTTGAATTGCTTGCCGCCATTCTGCGTGGATGAACAAACGGCGTGACCTTGTGTGGAAAGCTAGTGATGGGCAGCCGACGACGCCTCCCCACAGAACTAAAAGCGGTGCTCGCCAGGATTAAGGTGCAGAGTATGACTTGTCAGGATACTCAGCGTTCCTGACATCACCTCTCAAAGTTGTTTACCATGGCCTGACACCAGCAACCTGCATCTGGTATCATATGTATGTGTCCGTCTCTTGAAAGTATGCGACTGGATTGCTTGTCCGAAACTCCGTCATAGTACTGGAGGATTATGCGTGTTCTATGCTTTTATTGCAGATGCTACCAAGGAAGGATGCGGAGGCTCTTCGGCAATTCTATGACCGACGGTCCAATGACTGATGAGCTTTCGAGGTAAGTTCGCAAAATGACTTCACAGCACCTGGACAGCTTTTCACTGTTCTGGTTTTTTTGAGACTACAGCTGAAGCACCTTCTACCTATAATATCACAAAACGAAACACTTATACATCAATCAAGCATCATTGGTCTAGTGGTAGAATTCATCGTTGCCATCGATGAGGCCCGTGTTCGATTCACGGATGATGCACTGATCTTTCTTTTTGCTCTTATACTTTCTGGATATCTCATACTTTGTATTTTACTTTTTAGTTGCCTTCTCTGAAAGACTAGTTGAAAACCCAAATTACGCTCGTGCTAGACGTTCAAACCTAGCCGGGGCTCTTGCAGAAGATCGTACGTGGTTAGGAGTAACGCCTACGGCTTGTCTTGTAAGACGCAATCTTTACAAGCTACTATCCCTCTTTATTATCTATCAATGATAATACCCAAATCCCAAATCAAATAATTCAATTCGCATGTTTTCTAGCACTGATGGTTGACATCTATCTACTATGCTATTGGAAAATCTATTGATTATGTTGAAAGATCGCCCACCACCCTACTAAGGACCCCCTAGTTGAGGGAGAACACTTTGGAAAGGGCTATTGATGGAGAGCAGTTGGATGCTTCTTTTACAGCCTTACCTGTTATCAAGGTACGAGAGAGGCAGTTGGATGCTCAACTCTCTGACTGGCTAGGAAAGATAATAACAAAGACTGCACCGCTACTTCCCCGGAAACTAGATGCGAGCGGGATGAGGGCCCGCGGCGTACCCTCTCTCTCGGTTGTTAAAACGAGAGAAGGTACGGTGAACCCTAGTGACCCATGGAGCATCGATCGATAAGAATAAGGCTGCAACGTATGCGCCAAACAAGTTGGGAAGCCATTCTTATCGTTTTACCAGGCGGTGATATCTTCCACCTCTGCCTCTCCGAATGTGCTGCTCTTGGTTAGCTTATTCACCCCGTCCACTTCCACAGCCCCGTCAACTGGAGCTTTGGACATGATGTCCGGCAAGACTTCGCGGAAGAACTCCAGAATGTAGCGGTTGACTTGCTCAAACTGGAGGAGGAAGGCATCGTGGCCCTCGGGACTTTCGATTCGTTTGAGACGTGAGTCCGGAATGCCGGCTGCAATCTCTTTCTGCTCCTCAAAAGTGAATAGACCGTCACTCTCAATTCCCAAAACCAATGCTGGCTGTTGGATTTGCGACAGGGCCTCACGGACTGAATCACTCGATGTCGGGCTAGCCCGTTGCCTTGACACGTCATGAGTGTCCAGTTTGCGTGTGATGGCAATGTAACAGTTAGCATCGAACCGTTTCACAAATTTCTCTCCCTGGTAACGAAGATACGACTGGGCGGAGAAATAGGTTGGCGGACGCTTCTGACCGCTCTTTAGTTCGGTATCAATGGTTTTGCTGAAGGTTTTGGTTCCGGAGAACTGGGGGTCCATGTACTGAACTTCAGTCTGTTGCGGTGTGGGGGCGGTGGGAGAGCTGCGTCCACTAGGCGTCGAACGACCGCCTTTGTGCCCATCATTATGAATAGCCCAGTGCTCATTCGGGGGTGTAGGCAGCTTTTCAGTGCCCTTGATGTTTTGTTGCTTGGTAGGATCCGGGACATTTCGCCCAAACCGAGATTCAAACGAGTTGCGGCTCCGGTAAGTAAGAAGAGCGGACATGCGAGCTGCACCAAGACCAGTAGCAGGAGGATCGTCAAAAGAGTAATAGCCGTCCTCGTACTTAGGGTCGCTATAGATGCTTTGGCGCTGGGCCTCTCCCCAACTTATGCACCATGCGGAATGCCGCGGAGAGGTGGCAATCGGCACAATCGCTCGTACATAATCTTTACCGAAATAGGCATACTCCAAAGTGAGCATACCGCCCATGGAGCCGCCCACAACTGCAGCAATCTGTCGGATACCCAGATAATCCAGAACGATCTTGTGGATCCTATACCTTTGTGTGAGTTGCCTTGCACACTTCGAAATTCCCCTTACAACCAATCACATACCTCACGTCATCACGGACTGTAGTAAGTGGAAACTCCGGCCCATATAATCCCTTTTCGGGATTTCCATCCTTGTAGGTCACGGCACTGGCGCTTCCGTACGGGCTGCCCAAGCTATTCAAGCAGATCACGAAAAATCGAGATGTGTCGAAGGCCTGCCCGGGACCACCCAGAAGTGGACCCCACCAATCTGCGACATCCGCACTACCGCTCAGAGCGTGACAGATCACCAGGGCGTTGTCTCCGGTCTCGGACAGTTGACCTCGCGTAGTGTAGGCCACAGGGACATTGTACAACGTCACACCCGATTCTAAAGTGAACGAGGGGATCGAAACAAATAACTGATCCGTGATGAGGTTTGAAAAGGGGTTCTCAGGTTGAGAGTCGAGTCTCTCTACGGGATTTAGTAGCTGTTCATGTTCATAAGTCATAGTGGGGCACGGGAATACTGACGGGGTTGTGCAGGCACACTGTTCGATTCAGCGGCCATTTTGAACAATTTGTTCAAGGACAAATGAATACAATTAGGATCAAACAAAAAGGAAGGTTTGCGGATTGAAATAAAGAAAATATGTGACAAACAAAAGAGATGGGGGAAGAAGATCAGAAGGAGGGATGCACAGATCTCACATTATGACTCCTTGGAGCCTGACCCACTAAAGGTGCGTATTCGTCATACGAAGCCAATGGGAATCCGGGAAATTCCTTGACCCCGACCTCGGCGGCTCCATTGTTTTTCCGTCCCTGGTAACTTTATCCCGCGGGATTGCCACTCGGACCTGTGGTGCTCTTCGATATGCCGAGAGATCCTACCATGCTTACTCCGGAATATACTACTCTATGTAGCATCCAATTGTACGTACAGGAGACAAGCATTATAATTTAAATTACTACAGTACACCAATCATAAATCTAACACTGAAGACTATTGTCATCAATTCAAACTGAATATATCGCCTCCTTCGGGTCCATCTTGTGCGGTCGTTATCCTCGCGGCTGTTGACTTGTAAAGTCGAGGCAAGTGGACATCTTCGAAGCTCTTACCATGTTGGATCATGTCAGCAAGTCCTTTTGCAGTCAGGAATATCACTGGCATGCCGTGACCATCAAATCCGGCACAAATATATTGCCCGTGTCTACCGGGAACCTCCCCCACATGAGGACTAGTATCATACGAATACCCCATAACTGTTACAGAAGATGGTTTGTTAATGTCAAGCTCATTCTCAATGGATATCTTCCAGCTTGGAAATACTCACTGCCTGTCCAAATCTCCTTCACGTAGGCCCCACTATCCTCCCAGCCCCTGAATGTACGCTGCATAAAGCCATTAAAATAGTCCTTAGTTGGTTCTATCAGTGTGCTATCATCGACCACCCCAAACCACTGGTCTTTCTGACCTATGAATGTGCGTTGGGCACCCCCAACGATGATACTTCCGTCCGGCCTCGAGATCAGGTAGCTGCCGCCGCTTTCGCCGGTCTTTGTGCCAATACCATAAGAGTAGGGCAAGAATGGAGCGGTCTTACCCTCCGGGATCCCAATATGGCAACATATTCCACGGCAGGGAACTATACTAGCTGAATACTCGGGCAGCAGGCCCGATGTGTATGCATTTGAGGCGTAGACAACTTTAGACGTGCGGACGGATCCCCGCGGGGTATGGATAATATGACCGGAATTGTCAGATACTACGGAAATAACCGGGGTGAATGCCTGAACGTTAACGGCAGGCGAGTCCACAATCTTCGAAAGGAGACCCAATATAAGCTTGTAGGGCCACAGGGTACCTGATGTGTATGAGAGGCATGCTTTGGCACCTTGGATTCCGGAAACCTGTGTAGAATGTACGTCTTAGCTGAATAGCTTTCTTTGGGCGACGATAAAGAAATGCCCTTACCCCTTCCGCATTCTTTGATGATGTGTAGTGTATGTCGTCTGCAAAAGCCAGACCTCGTGACACTAGGTCTTCATAATTCTTTCTTGCCTTTTCTCCCGCCGCTTCATCCAAGTAAACGCTCAGACACCGAGTTATGTTGAAATCACAGTCAATGTTTTCTTCCGCAAGAAGATTCTTGAATGCTTTTATATGGCTAAGTTCAAAGTTGGCCACCTCAGCTGCAGCATCCACCCCATGTCGCTTTATATAGGTAGGGATACGGTCATACAAGTCGGGCCGTAGGTGGCCACCTAGAGTAATAATCAGGATGGCTAGCTACAAATTGATGGTCTAAGCAACCTACCATTGCGACCAGTTGCACCAGAGCAGATCTGTCTTGCTTCAAGGATAGTAATCGCAGGGTGAGGCGTATTGTGGCCTTCCAAATGGTTCAGGAGGTGATATGCAATGCTAACACCAGAATAGCCGGCCCCTATAATGACGATATCACTCTGGTCTGGAAGAGCTTCTGTGCTCCGGAGCTCATCTAGTGGGTGAGGTTCCGTGCGCCAGAATGGCCGAGTAGGATTATCAACTGGCAGGAAGGAGGGAAGATCTTGATAGGGTCCCATGTTTTAGATTATTCTTTAGAGATTGAACGGTTTCTGCCACTTTTGTTGCTCCTTTAATAGTTTTCTGTCAGAGTACCTGGTAGCTAGCTGAGTAGTGATATACGAACACCGAACACCGATGTCCTAGTATTATCTCTATGCCGAAGTGATAAACACGCTACTAATGCGGGGTTATCTCATCCAAGCTTACGAATTGCTCACTTTTATCAATCCAATATAACAATGTCGCCTCTTTACTTATACTTATCTTGTCTAGCTTATACTCTCGAATTTCCTTGCCTCATTTGTGAACATGAATTAAATACAATGAGACTCTACGTTGAACTGAGATCCTTCATACCGTACTCAACTATAGGAAGCCAACACCGCATCAGCCTTTTCCTTAAACCCGCTCATCGCAGCTCGATATAGCTCTGGGCCCAAACTAATTCTCGCAACCCCCAACTCCTTCACCTCCGGTACAGTCAAAAACCCATCTCGCAGCACCAACTTCACATTCAGTCTCCCCTGAAAAGCCACAACCAACTCCTTAATCTCCTCCCTTGACACTCCCCGTCCACCCGCACCACCCCAAACAAACACGGTACAAGCCCCGGCCCTCAAAAAAGCCCTCCCCCTCTCAATAGCATCTTGAATATTTCCCGGTTTGCTACCAGGGTTATCCCCCAGGACATCCGTCCGCGCATTGACCACAAAATCAGGAACGCCGAGCTCCGCAGCAGTCCTAACCGCCAGTTCAATCCGCGCCACGGCCTCCGACAAAGGCCGTAACTGTCCCGTAGTACCGTCTAGATCTTCAAGGTTGCATCCCACCGCGCCCAGGTTGATGATCTCCTTGATCGTTTCAGCGACGTCTGCGTAGCCGTCCTGGAGGTCAACTGTTAGGGGAAGCTTTGTCGTAATTTCGTCTGAGTCTTTGCTTTCCGGGAAGCTGTTGGGCTTCAAGATAGCTGCTATGGAGCGAACGGCAGCTAGGTTTCGGGGCAGTGTTAGAGCGTCATCGGAGAAGCCTTGGGAGGCTGCGATTGCGTAGCTTGCTGTTGCGATTGCTTTTGTGGAGGGGTGGTTTGCAATTAAAGAGGCTGTTGCTGCGTCGTATACGTTTGTGAGGAGGATTGGGTGGCCTGGAGTGTGGAGGTTACGGAAGTAGATGGCTTGGTTGTTTTGGGCGGTTTTGATTGCCATGATTAGACAGTTGCGGGGATGGATTTGATTTGAAGGCAAGTAGGGATAGGAGCTTGAGTATTGTGGTCAGAAGAATACCAGAAGGAAGGATGTTAGGCGGTTTATATTATCGGTGAGCTGAGTCACCGTGTTAATAGTGTTTACGTTGTATACATGATTGTTGCTGCCAAAGTGACCAATCACAGTGAAGCTGTACATCAGGCTTCTCGTATTCCGATAATTAGTGCTGGAATGATAGTCCAATAAATTCAATGCGAGACTAATGAGTGTCGTTGTTTTATTCATGTAGTAGTACTATTTCTAGTGGATTCCAGACAATACGGCAGTAGTGGTTGTGTAGTTACGTGGATTGCTGTACAACATCCGGGGAGATGTATGGGTGGGTGGTATCAAAATATATTTGTGTTGGTAGTATTACAATCCGGCGTAACTAGGACCATCAATATGAACAGAAAAAAGTAATCAAGAGGATAGGTACTTGTAACAGTAAGATTCTGTTCATTATTCTCTATCTCAGTAGAATATACCTACACAGTAGTCATCGGGACATAGTTCGTTTTAAGGAGAATTAACAAAATGGAAGCATATTCGAGAAGTCAATCTGGGAAGGCGTTAAACCCGAAGGGTATGGTCATTGATGACATTAATCCCTATCCGGTTAGCGCGCTACATCATTCCGCCCAAAGCTTTGAAACCCGCAACTCGGGCTGGAGTCCGACCGCAGGGGCAATCGCATCGCAAACTACTATGGCCCTGACAATTCCCACGACATCAGCTCCGTGAATTTACCCTTACGTACTATCTTACATGACCTCGTTTCTAACAGCGCGCGATACCCGTCATCATGACCGATTACTCAACATGGAAAGTGACTGAACTGAAGGCGGAACTGAAGCGGCGCGGCATTGCGCAGACCGGCCTCAGAGTCAAACAGCAATTTATTGACAGACTCGTGGAGGAAGACGCCAAGGATGACGAGAGTCCAGTCGCAAATGAAGAGCCTACCGCGACACAAGATGTTTTTGAGGAGTTACAACCCGCCGAGGAGAAACAACCTACGCCGCCTCCCGTGGACGCTGCGGCAGAGTCACACGACCCCAAGCCTGAAGACCAAGTGCAGAAACAACAGCAGGACCAGGAAGTCCCAGGTACTAATGTTAGTGAAACTCACGCCGAAAAGAAGACCACAGATGTGACACAAGATGATGACGCGACCACCGAGAAGAACCAGCAACAACCGTCTAAGTCGGAGCCTGCAGAACCTGCAGAACCTGTAGAACCGGCAGAACCGGCAGAAACAGCAGGAGCCCAGCCTGAAACTGACACTTCGATGCAACCGGTTGAGCAGGCTCCCGGAAATGTGGAAGAAAAGGAACCTACACCTGCGAGGGAAGAAAGCATAGGCCAGACTGACTCTGCTGAAAAGATTGCGCCAGTTGCTGCACCCCCCTCAGAATTGACTACTGGATTGTCTACACCACTCCCTGCCGAGGAGCTTATTGAAGACTCTCGGAAAAGGAAGCGTCGCAGCCAAAGCCCTGTTCCTACACCCGAGGCACTGGCGAACAAAAAAGTGAAGCTTCCAGCGGAAGCCCCTAAGGTTCTCTTGCCGGAGGACAGAGGCGCGATGGATATTGATGGGGACATCAAACCTGACGAGACTGTTCCAGTTTCGCAAGAGACTTCAGAAGAACATGTCAATGTTAATCAACCTGATGAACAAGCTCCCGTGCCTCGTGATGACTTACACCCTCCTTCTAGTACCGACAACTCGCGAAGCAAGCAGAGTACCGCGCCGAAACAAGATGTTCGTTTCAAGGGCCTCTTTGCAGCTGGCGAGACAGAGGAGGCCCATCCTGCATCCCCGCCCGCTGATACCATAACCGAGGAGACGGAAATTGAGCCGGCCTTGCATGTTGCGACAGCAGCACTGTATGTGGGTGGTCTGATGCGCCCGCTTCAACCGGCTGCTCTCAAGAGTCACCTTATAAACATTGCATCACCCCCCGGGGCTTCGCCTGATCCCGACATCCTTGTTAATTTCTACCTGGATTCCATCAAAACACATTGTTTTGTCAACTTTACAAACGTTACGGCCGCGTCTCGTGCCCGTGCTGCTCTTCACAATACTGTTTGGCCTAACGAGCGGAACCGCAAAATTTTGTTTGTGGACTTTATTCCCGAACATAAGCTGCAACAATGGATCGATACGGAAGAGAATTCTCGTGGACGTAGCGGTCCTCCAGCTCGTTGGGAGGTAAAGTACGACCGGACTGACGACGGAGTGGAGGCTGTCTTGGAGGAAATCGATCCGAAGAATGCGGGATCCCGTCAAGCCCGCGGACCGGCGCCAAGTGACTTTTCTCGGCCCCCACCATTGGGTCCACGAGCGGATATGGAGAAGAAGGACCGACGTCCTAGTGGACCTGCTCAAGCCGAGCCCAGCTCTCGACCTGGACAAGGATTCAAACCACTCGATGAGCTATTCATGTCGACTACCACCAAGCCTAAACTGTACTATCTTCCTGTCCCTCGCGACGTGGCGGACCGACGTTTAGACCGATTCGATGATCTACTGCGAAAGGGTTCGTATCCTCGTCCCGGCGGCGACGAAACTCGCCGGATATCATTCGAGGACGGCGACTTATTTGTGGATAACGGCCCTGAATTTGCCGGTCGAAATCGGCGACGAGGTGGTCGCGGGCGAGGTCGAGGTGGATTTGGGGATTCCTGGAGGGGCGATCGACAAGGTCGTCATTAAAACACGGTTCTTGGACCGGTGATGATATCATGTAACATTTGGACTCCGTTCTCAGATTAAAAATCTGACCAAGCTATGGCTGATTTTCTCGTGATGCTGGCTAGGGTTTACAAAGTGTACAATATAGGGCTGAAAACTGCCGGATAAGCGCTTGAGGAATGTATATTACTGAAAAAAAAAAAAAGAAAGAAAAAAGAAAGAAAAGAAACAGAAATCATGATGAATGTTGTAGATATTCTTTCCGGTTTCCCGCCCCATTATCCTCTTGCCATCTTGTCCTTCAAGTTGATTTTCAATAGTACGTGCTTGATATAGCCTTAGTCATCGGAGCTTGGGAAAAAGCTTAGCGTTTCTTGTGCCTGCTGGCCCTCATTCTTGATTGGGAGCCAATCCTTCAAATCCTGAGGCGCAGCGCATACCAAAATAAGTTCTTGGGAATGATCACCGCCACGATGAAATGCTCCACAACGTTTTGAGGGCCAAAAATGAGGGCCAACATGGACAACTATTTTCGGAGAGCCAAGTGATCAGCCTTGTGGACAGTCTTCTTTGTTTTCTGCCTATAGATTAGTTCCTGCCGATCCCTCAATAATTTTTTCTTTTTCGTTGTCGTGCGTTGCTCTTTCCTTCTCTCTTCACCACCTGAATCAGATCACCGATGCGATATCCTTGTAATTATTTCAGGGACATTGTGGAGACACAGAAACCCCCGTTGACGTCGCGAAACCGACAAAGAAGAAAGAAAGTACCTCAAGGTGGTTCCCAGGGGGCCGGCCTCTTCGGAACCAAACCGGCGGATAAGATAGCGCTGCCTGCTGCCCGCGGATAAACATCTCAAAAAGTATTTACTCGTTCTAATCACACTTTCTCACCACCTTTTGCTTCCTCAACCAACCGAGGCCTGTACTTAGTTTCATTACAGGTCTCGTGATCTGGAGCTAAAATGGGCTGGCCAGTGTGTAACACGACACTGGAAGAGGGGACCAGTACGCTTCCCATTCTTGACCTGTCCCTTCAAGATCACTAGCTGACAGAAGACGAAAAACCACAGTTGTGGAGGAAGATTTGTGGAATGGCGGCATTACCTTCCACCAACTCTGCGAGATTGTTGGCGGCGTGTTCGCGCTCATAGCCGCAGGGGTCTCCTTTTTCCTGATTATGTGCCATGCCACGCATTACAGCAAACCCATTGAACAACGACAGTATGGCCCCCCCCCCCAAATCTCTGTTACCGCACTCCTCTTCCTCCGCTCCCTTGGTTTCATGATGGTAGACACTAACGGTATTGCTTGACACATAGTATTATTCGAATCCTCTTCATGGTTCCGGTTTATTCCCTCGTCGCATGGCTCAGCATCTATTTCTACAGAAACTCGGTTTACTTCTCCGTGATCGGCGATTGCTACGAAGCGTTCGCAATATCTGCTTTCTTCGCCCTGCTCTGCCATTACATTGCGCCAGACTTGCGGAGTCAGAAGGAATATTTTCGCGGAATTGACCCAAAGCCATGGGTCTGGCCACTAACGTGGTTTCAAAAGTGTTGCGGAGGGGAACGAGGGGTATGGAGGATACCACGAAGCGGATTGACTTGGTTTAATGTAAAGCGCTTACGGTACCTCGAAGTTCTTGAATAGGGTCATCTATACTAACCAAGCCGTTTCACTTAGATCGTTTGGGTGTCTGTCTTTCAGTACTGTCTACTGCGTGTGCTCATGACTATCGTCGCGGTCATCACGCAGCATTTCGGTGTGTACTGCGAGGAATCACTTAATCCAGCCTTTTCTCACATCTGGGTATGGTCTATGAAACTGGATGTTTTCCGATCTTAAAATTAATTAGGCTAAATAGGTCATGGCCGTCGAGTGTATTGCCGTCACTATTGCAATGTACTGCCTGATTCAGTTTTATATCCAGATCAAAGATGACATTAGCCAGTACAGCCCCTTCTTGAAGATTCTTTCGATCAAGCTCGTGATTTTCCTCTCTTTCTGGCAAAGCGTGAGTGCAGTTTTTGTGCCGCACCCTCGTCCACAATGTCTAATCTGGGGTTCAGATATGTATTAGCTTCCTATTCTCCGCGGGAGCGATCAAAGCCACAAAAACAATAGCAGAACAGGATCTGAAGGTGGGGCTTCCCAAGTTGCTTATCTCTATTGAAATGGCTATATTTGCCGTCCTGCACCTATGGGCCTTCTCGTGGAAGCCCTACTCGATCGGAAACACTGCAGTCGAGGTGACCGACTTCTACGGAAATGGCAAAGCAACCTACCAAGGTGGGCGTTGGGGCATGAAGGCCCTTATCGATTGTCTTAATCCTTGGGACCTCGTGAAGGCTATTAGCCGCAGCATACGCTGGCTTTTTGTAGGCCGGAAAAAGCGAATGCTCGACCCTAGCTATCGAACCCACGACGAAGCGATTGGCCTTGACGGTGCTGGTGAAACCAATGCGACAGCCTACCAAGGCGCGGGTGCAATGATGAGTAGTGGGCGACCAGGGCGCTATACTCCCAATGAGGAAGGGGAGGATCTCCTTTCAAATGCACAGCCGAATCCAACAGCACAACCTGAAGGCGATCTGGGATTGAATCCTCCATCCTACGACGATGTTGATCATGGCCACTACTACCCGTCTCACAACAGATTGAGCAGCTCGGCCTTACTGGATCCAGCGACCCACTCACCACGGCCGTACTCGCCGTATGATAACCCTTTCAACAACCCTTATATTGTTCCATCCGACTCGGAATCCGACCATCACCACACGAGCCCTACAGCTTATCACAACGCTCCTTACCCGCCGGATGCCCTACAGGAACAACCGCCGATGCCTATACCTGAATCGTATCACCCTCCGTCCCAGGGTGGGGGCAGGACAACTCGGGATGTCTAGCCAACCGTAGGCCTTTGAGCGCAGTGCAGCACTAAGTTCCAGCTTGAGCGCTCTATGTTGATCTCATATCATGTGTAATGAAGTCACATGTTTGGCGTTGATTCCATGCATGGCTTGCTTTATGTTCAGAATACCCCCCATATATGTTTTACCATTTGCTTCATTTCTATGCATGGTCATGGGACGAAGTCTTGAGACTATGGCCTTTTGGGCTTTTTTTTTCTTTTTTGTATATGATACTCTTTGACTTCAGGATTCAATTGTACATGATTATATCTAAATACCCTCGGGATATAATGGAGACGAGTCTAATAGACAGACCCCACTATCTTTCATGCTAACCTCTACATTTCGGAAGACAAGTTACAGGAGTCAAGATAACAACCTCGTGAGATATTGTCTTCATTCCTCATGATAAGCTGTTCTAATAAGACCAAACGCTGCTATAAACCACCTAGGGTTTAATTTAATGATCATCACAAACCCTAAGGCTAACAAACTTGTTGTAAATCTAACCATCGCTTATCCGTGGGCTATACCATCACGGGCGAACAGTTCTTCCTCGAATCGGCTCTGCATAGACATTTGTGTCTTTCGAGACGCATTACTTCTTCTTACATTGGTTAGAATCGCGGTTCTCTTTCCTAGCTCGCGCATGCTGTTGATGCTGCTGCTTAGTTGACCGAGAAGTGCCACTAGGTGAACATCGTTGCTCTGAGCGAGGACCTCTGCGGAGAAAGCGCTCTGTTCTTGAGGAGAGAGGAGGGATAGGTGTGAGAGGAGGGAGTTGATGTTTCGGAGGATCGGGTGAGATAGAGTCGTCGTTGATGGTGTTGTATTCTCTTGGTTACCACCTTCAGATGCTGGGGATATACTAGCGACGTACGATTTTATCAACGAGATTCGGGACTCTAGTGTCCGAATGGCATTTAATCGAGTATTGAGACTGGCGATCACTGCGAAGATATACACGTTAATAATTGAACGTTGGTTCTGCGCACGGGATAAACTCACGTTCTTCTTCATCCGGCGAGAGCACCACAGTATCTGTTAACTGTTCCTTCTTGTCGGTTTTCTTCTTCAGCACTTCCTTGGCTGAGGAGAGTGCGCTCGGGCCTTCAACGGCTGCATTCCTCGCAGTTCTAGCGACAGTGTCGATGCCTATCATCTCTGCCTCCCCGGTCTCGACGAAATATGGCAGTTCCCGGAATCGTATGCTCAACGACTGTTCTTCGCCGTCGACTTGCATCGTTTTCTCGCTCTCTGCGGCATTTTCGCCCTCGTATACACTCTCGTAGACTGTTAATGGTAATTTACCGCCGTTTACCGACGCGCCCTTCACTTGAGAGGGGTGGAATGCGAGAAACACCGCGGATTCGTTATAGTATTGGAGGATTTGGCGATGAATCGGGAGATGAGTTGCGTCTGGACCGGACGGGGGAGCTGTTGACCACCATCCGACAATATCAAGGGCAGGGACTTTATGTACATCCTTGACTATGACATGTCTTGTCAGCCGGAGTAGATAAGACGGGGGTGTGACGTATGTTGGTGTCTTACATTGCTTGACTCGTTCATTAAACCATTCATTTCGTAGTTGGGGCTCGCCGTTCGGGCCTTCTTCCACGATACATTCGAAAGCGTGCTCTAGTGTTATCTCGCGCCCGTTTTGTTGCCCGAGCAGAGCTCCGAGGATTGGGCCTCGTTGCGACCTTGCGGCATGTCTGGTAATGTGGTCTGAGATCGTGAGGAGGATCAAAGGGTGAAGTTGGATATGGAGGCCTGAGTCGGATGACTTTTGGGATACAAAGGAATTTAATTGTTCTGTCATCTTGGAAGTGGGCGAGAAACAACCGAGGGGGCAACAAAATGGCTGTTCCTGGTACTATAGGTAGGCTGTTGGAGGTTCATTTGTACAGGAACGAAGCCATGGAGAGGGCGGAGCTATCGTCGCTGTTTGTCGTGTTTGCATGGAGCTTCCCCACCATCACAAACGATAGATGCGGCGTTCCTGAGCAACCATCTTCTACTATCTATCCATCAGCTGTGGGAGAGGGTCGCTAGTGAGTGAACCATTTTCGGGCAAAATGGCAGTACCATCAACGTATAACGAGGTGAAACTTCACCTGCAACAAGTCCAACGCGACCCCTCCGTTCGCTTAGACATTCCCATCATTGACAAACTGAAGCTGCAGCTTACAGAGAGTACGGACAGCAGTGTCCCTGCAACTCTCTTGCCGCTGATCTCTCAGCTGCTTCCTGTACTCCAAGAGGATCCCACTCCTATCACTACTCTTGCTATCAAGGCTACAGCATATACTAGCTTCACTGACCTTCGTTCGGTCGATCCCCCAATTGATTTCATTGCGGGCTTCAAGGCACCATCGCCACCCATCAACTCTCTAGCTTTAGCTTTATTGAGCAAGGCCGGACAGGCGCCCAGCGACGCCGCCATAGTGGCTGGTGACTCTGAGCTGGTCGCTTCTTTGGTGGAACTCTGGCTCTCGACTTCTTCAACCGCTGTCGCTCAGGCTGCTTTTGATGCTATATGGGCACTACTAGAAGTTGATCTGACAAGCCCCTTAGAAAATGGGGAAGGTTCCAGTGAAGGGCAAGAGGCTACTGGAGGGCAGGGTCTCGTATGGAGGAGGGTTTTCACCGACAGAGACGTTTACGGACGCTTATTCTCATTGTGCAGCCTCACCGAGAACGGCTCTGGAAACCTTTCGAAACGCGACAAAACCGTAGCCCAAGGCCGGCTGATGGGCTTTCTTGCGAAGGCTGGCAACCTGCGCTGGGACATTATCTCAAGCTCACAAATACCGGAGATTGAGACTAGATACAATAGTAGCAGCCTTCTGCATTTTGCGGCTTGTGAAATGGTCGATAAAACTGATGTTCTGATGCATATGACCTCGTTGAACTTCTTCCATGACCTCCTGGAGATCCAAGCCCCTGGTCTTACTGCTCGGTCCTTTGTCCAGGCGGCATCTACCTTCTCGTCCCCCGCTCTTGACTTCCTTATCTCGCACAACATACATTCATCTCTTCTGAGTTACTACTTGGACGAGTCGAAATTGGATCCCGTGGATCTGAACTATCTTTGTGGTCCTATCATGGCTTACGTTGCGCAGTATGCAGAGTTGTATCCTAATCACTTCCTACAGAATCCCAAGCATCTATTAGACCGAATCCTATCACGGATTTCCGCATCGGTGACGATCTCATCCGCTCAATGGGCGCATGGGCCTGTCCCAAGCGGCCAACTCAACGTGCTTTCCTGCATTCCCCGAGTTCTGCTTGTGGAAGCCACTAAACAGGGCTTCAATCCTGTTCTTGCTCTTCCCACGAGCCCACCCAACAAGGAGGCATTAGATGTATTGAGCAAAATTCTCCACGGCCCTTCCAAACTATACCTTCCCGATACGATGGAGCTTAATACATCTGGTCAGACAGCCACAGATTGGCATAAAGAGGCCGCAGCAGCTCGGATACTTTACTTTATGTACTTGAACCAGCACAGCACTTTCTGGACGGATGTCGTTGCTGCGGCTGACATTTTGGCCATGAAGGATGTCTCTCTAGCAGCCATTTCATTCATGAGAGCTATTATCACAGCGAACTGGGAGAAGCTTTCCGTGGAAGTAACTTCTTCTGTTCCAGGCACATCCCAGTACCAGCTTCCTTCTGAACAGGGCTTAGGCAGTCTGTCCCCAGCTTCTCAAGGAGTGCTTCCCTCATCGGGTGCCTGGGCAGTTCTCACCCCACCAGCTTTGACCGTTCTGCTACCTTATCTTTTCAAGGCACCCCGCTCGTATGCCGAGTTTGTTGGAGGTGGCGCAGGCGATTCGCAAAACGCAGTCTGGAAAGTTGCAACAGCGAAATACGAGGTGCTAGTGGCGTTACACAATCATCTCAAGGAAGCAGGTGGTGATATGGCAGGATTCGAGGATATTATGCGCACCCTTCAGCAGAGGGTAAGCGAAGGACCATGGGGACCAGTAACGCAGAGTGGAAACCGGGTTGAGACTGTTGGTCTATAAAGTCTGTATTGCCAAGCGATGCATGCAGCATCAATACTGTACCGTTATGTCAGCGCTGGGAGCGTCCTTTTCATTACTACAGCAAAGTTTACCAATTAAGATTATAATCAAACTGAGCATCACTATATCCCGCTACCCATCATTCCATTCTCTTGATAAATAGTAGGGTTATATCTCATAAGCCCTGATTGCCCTCTTGAGACCCATCCGGGAAGGCGGTGAGTCGAACCTCCGCCGTAACTTTTTTTCTGATCGCCGCAAACTACTCCTCATCCATCATTTCTGCCGCAAAGAAGCCTCGACTCCAAATTATCACCCCAAAAACTCAGGACAATCCCAGCACATCTATAACAAAAGTCCACCCTTCAAGACATACCCATGTCCCGGTTCGGAGCGAAGAAGGGCAGAAAGCTGCCCGGCGCAGAATTTACATGGGACAATGACCCAAACGGGGAACCAGACACTGCGCCAACACCCCTCTACCCTGTACGTCTCTCTAACCTTTGACCTTGCGCAACTGAAATGCAAGCAAAGCCACTACAAGAAAACAAGAAGGAGTGCAAGAAACTTATACGGATCTTTCTTCTATTTCCCAGAAATACACCGTCCCCCAAGCCCGATCCCTAAGCGAGCGCGAACAAAAGCAAGTTGATCTGTATCGGGCTCTTCGCGAGCAGTTTCACGATGGTCCCTATTACTCTGTTCTTGATCCGGGATTGTCGGGTAGGAAGTCGAAGGCGGCGAAACAGCATTTCGATCCGTTCCACGGCATGCCGTCTTATTCGGGGAAGTATCAGAAGAAGAAGAGGGCCATTCCGAAATTGAGTGGGCGGCCTTATAGTGAGTTTTCTCTCTTTCTTGTTTTCCTTTGGCGTATAATTGGAGAAGGGGAAGAGTGGTTGTTAATGATGTTTGAAATAGTCATGAAGTTCTTCCCCCGCGACGATCTTTGGGAGGTCATTCAGCCAAACTTCAAGGCCGGTGCGGCGATGGATGGGTTCGTTGCGAAGATGGTGCGGCCGCCACTTAAGCGCGGATTCGAAGATGATGACGAGGAAGATGAAGATATCGGGAAGCGACGGAAGACGGGCGATGAGGATGACGAGGGTGGTGAGAATGATGATCTTTTGGAGCCAGATGATGAGCAGGGTGAGGAGGAGATTATGGATGATGACTTTGAGGATGACGATGATGAGATGGGTGGCGACTATAACGCTGAGCAGTACTTTGACGGCGGCGATGATGAGTATGGGGATGATGGATTCGGGGATGGTGGTGGCGGCGGCGATGAGGATACTTATTAAAGCGGGAGAACGCTTGAACATTCTGAGATACCCTTTTCTTTCTTTCGAATATGGTTTCTATTCTATGAGCGGTGTTTTTATATATCATATATATGTATGTATGGATGCATTTGCATGGTGGAGCGGAATTGCATGCTAGTTCCCTTTTGAGAGGGGATGGTTTGGTTCATCATTTACTCGTAGGGATGAATGAGCTGGAATGTGTAAGAGGGGTCTGTTCCTTCGCTCCAGGGCTCCTTAGCAAGGAAGCTGTGTGAGATATGAGGATCCTAGGCCATCTCTTTGACATGGTATATATATATATGCTCGGAATGTACACCACGAGGTAGCACTTTCCACGCGGTAGACTGACACCAAGCTGCCATCGCTGGAGTAAAGAATTTTGAATTATGACCTAAACTATTTTTCTTGCTTCTCATTCTCATGTTGCATACTTAGTAGAACACCGACTTTCACAAGTATTTATTATTCTAGGACAACCGCAACCGCAACTGCCAGAAAAGGTACCACATGATGACTCGGCATATCCATGGCAAGAACATAGCCAGGATAGGATAGAATGGAATAGAATATGTACTCATTCATATGTTTGGCTTAGTTGCTCGCGATCAACGTCAAATTGTTACTACGGCAGAGACTAAGTTGTTGCCAGCTCGACTTGTTCGCATATTATTCTCTAATGAATATACGCACTCAACAAACATGGCCCTTCTACCCGGGACTAGTACTTCGTAGACAGTACCTTCTCTCGGACCTATGAGGTCATCTCATCGTCTCCAGTCATCAAAGTAAGGTCATCTCTAATCAAGATTGTTAACTGGGTGTAGAGTCCTTCAGCCAAGCTCCTGGACTGTACGATGTATGAGATGTTCAGCTTGGGCCAATCTTGCACCGTGGAATCAATTACGCTGTGGCAAATGGTAAGAATCAGTTTGGATAGAATGAAGAGGTCTTTGTGTATAAATTGCGTGGATCGGGCTCCTAAGCTCCACTATGACAGTTGGCGTCGGAGCTCGACCGATGTTATCAATGTAACCTCATCAACCAAAAATCAAGGCTTACCCTAACTGATCAAGTCCAGCCAGATAGTAAATAAACCTTATAAGTGTATATGATCGGTGATCGTCCAGTAGCGCCATGGAGTCCAACTGTCTTAGCATCATTATATAGATCTCGTTGCTGTGATGTCGCATCTCTGGGCACTTCAATGGCCAGCTCAGTGGGACTTATACAAGGCCTGGACTTTGAATTCTCCAAAAAGTAGTAGGATACCATGAATGCAAACGGAAGTCGAGTAAACTTTGCTATCTTGAATGATTTCATAATAGAAGACTTGATCCAGATCGTGTTGTTCAGAGAAAAAGATATTTAAGGGCTACGTTTCTCTTCGGCCGTCGTTACTTCCTCCTCAACCCAAATTTCTATTCTCCTCTAATAAGACGTAATTCTAAGTCCAATTCTAATTCTATTACACCCACGCTCAACATGCAGATTACTAAGTCGCTCATTGCAACCACCGTTGCACTCTACACTTCCGTTGTTCTCGGAGAAACGGTTAAGGTATAAACCCCCAACCACTCGGCAAGTCTAATATTTGACCTAAGAGCTGACTATCTACTGATTAGATTGCCTATACCTCCAATGGTGACTTTCACCAGGAGGATATCGAAGCAGAAAGGCTCACAAAATTAAAGCATCCGTAAGTTCCCATTTCCACACTATTTAGGTACATTGCTTACTAACGGTTGGTATTATAGGGGAGTCTTGACTGATATCCAAAACACAGCTAACTGCGTTTTGTGGAGGTAAGTTCACAGGTCACATATAGTATTTAGTCCTGCTTGGGGTCGCTTGCTTATACCGCACTTTAGCCATCACCCTAACCACCCTCCCGACTATCAGGTTAAACGGGGCACAAATATCATTATCCCGCCGAAGCAGCTTGATTACATCTACTGCTATGAGCCGAACGGTGCCTGGGTCAACTACGTGTGGTAGTTTAACAAGAAGGAAGACATTCTTGTTCTACTGAGTAGGCTTTGCTGGAGATGGACCTGCAACGGGGCAAATGAAATGAGGCCTTTGTCACCCACTCAAAAGTAACCTGGCCGTGGTATAGGTTTTCTCCATATTATAGGTTTTCCTGTGCCTTCATGAGAATGCAAAAGGGTCCTTATATCTATCACACTACCTTCGTGTATTTTGCAACGCGTAACCACTTAGTAGTCAAATTACTCTGGCCCGACACCTCTGAACGTCATATCTCTGTCAGCTATTACTAGTGACCAATAAACTGCCTTTAAAGATTATTATCTTCACCGAAACACAGCACTCGTTTTTACCAATTTACCATATTTGTTGAAGGGTTTGTCTATTTCAAGATCTATACGATAAAAACATCCACAATAACCTAGGTGTTGTGAACTTTACAACTTATCAGAAGTAGACTTATACCACCGACCTGCTGAATAACCTCATGAATGCAGGAGTATTGAGCACTGTCAACAACGGTTTCTGCAATGACCAGCGAGTCCCTATTGTCTTAATATGAATGATTATGGCCAGAGCTTTAACGAGTCCAGTGTCAGCCACACCGATGAGGGCAGGTGTCATACATGGCGTAGAGATATATAGCTTGGCGGGATTCATGAATCATCATGGCTGAAAATCTAGGATAACCTAGATTATTAATTAGCTTTAAAATTGAGCGGCAGAAAAGCATTAAACTACAATAAATGGTATAAAATGAGTTCCTTACACAGAGTGAAGCGTCCATGAGGCAACAGAGTACGAAGGTTATGGAGTATAAGAAACAACAACGGATGCATAATCACATAAGCCACCCTTTATGACAAATCATAAATAATGCAGCGACTTCGGCCTGACGTCATTCCGTCCCGCCGGCGAAAACCGCAAAAATGGAGGGGTTATCAAACCCCAATACAAGACGAGCAGCGCGATAAAAGCACCTGCATGATGAGCCAGGATCAGGGATCAGGACCCCGTAAACGGTCTGCTCTCATTCTCTATGGCTCAGAAACCGGTAATGCCCAAGAGGTGGCCGAAGAGCTGGGGTCTTTGGCCGAGCGCCTACATTTCCTGACTCAGGTTTCGGAGATGAACCATGTCAAGCCAGTGCGGTCTCCCCCCATCTATAGCCATGGCGGTCACATAGAGTCAGGGCTAATGGTGGTATCCAGGAGAAATTGAGCTCGTATACTATTGTTGTCTTTGCTATCTCGACAACGGGGCAGGGAGATCTACCTGCTAATGCACGGACGTTTTGGAGATCTTTGCTTTTGAAGAGGCTTCCGCCGACGTTTTTGGAGGGCGTTAGTTTTACGTCGTTTGGGTTGGGGGATAGTTCTTATCCTAAGTGAGTGTTTTTTTTTTTTTTTTTGTGAAGTTGATATCTGAATTTGGATTTGAATTGGTTTCTAACGTGTGAAAAAAGGTTCAATTGGGCTGCGCGCAAGCTGTGCAAGAGATTGGTTCAGTTGGGCGCAAGTGAGACCTGTCTTAGTGGAGAGGCGGATCAACAGCATCCTGAAGGGTATGTCGATAGTCAACTACCCTATGTTTCTACTTGTCGTATTGATGCACTTCCAGACTGGAAGGAACATTTATTCCTTGGATAACGGATTTCCGCAAACACTTGCTGGACACATACCCTCTTCCTGAAGGCCAGCATCCGATACCGGATGATGTCCAATTACCACCAAAATGGGTGCTGCAATTACAGGGTCAACCCCCAAGCTCCAATGCGGACCCTGTTGTCTCAGGAACAGGAGTCGACGATTCAAAGTCCCGACTAGAGCATGACCTCCGCCCAATCCCAGATACACTGACTGCAACACTCATCCAAAACAAACGGGTGACACCTCCAAAGCACTGGCAAGATGTACGACACGTCTCCCTGACAGTTCCCGACTCCGTCACCTATGTCCCCGGCGACATGATCTCCATCATGCCCAAGAACTTCGCCGAGGACGTCCAAGCCCTGATTCAGATGATGGGCTGGGAAGACCAGGCCGATCAGGTGGTCTCGCTGGTCCCTGCTAATAGCCAGCACTCCGTCGAAGACCTACCTTTACCACCCATGCCTAACCTGGAGTCGTATCCGAAGCTGACGCTACGCGCGCTCATCATGGACTACTTAGATATTCGAGCGATCCCTCGCCGGAGGTTCTTCTCGGAGATTTCTCATTACACTAATGATGAAATGCAGAAGGAGCGATTACTTGAGTTCACTAATCCCGAGTTCCTGGATGAGCTCTGGGATTATACCTCGCGACCGAGACGCAGCATCCTGGAGGTTTTACATGAGTTCGATACGGTGAAGATCCCATGGCAGCATGCGACATCGGTGTTCCCCGTTCTCAGAGGGCGACAATTCAGCATTGCCAGCGGAGGCGAACTAAAGCGGACACCCGAAGGCGGCGCCAAGTTCGAGCTATTGATCGCTATCGTGAAATACAAGACCATAATCAAGAGAATCAGAGAGGGTGTCTGCACAAAGTATATATCGGTACTCCAACCGGGGAGTACCCTGAAAGTGCATCTGCAGCGTGGAGGCCTGAATTCATCGTTGGGTCAGCTATCTGGGCCAACGGTTTTGGTTGGTCCCGGCACTGGAGTCGCGCCGCTACGGTCTATGATTTGGGAGAAAGCTGCCTTTGTCAAGGCGTATAAGGAGGAAAATCGTGGGGCTGAGCCGACCATTGGGCCTACCATTCTTCTCTTTGGAGGACGTAACCGAAATGCCGATTTCTTCTTTGATGAAGAGTGGCAGCAGCTTAGTAAGTTGGTTAAATTGGAGGTCTTTGCAGCGTTCTCCAGGGACCAGAAACAGAAGGTCTATGTACAGGACGTTATCCGAGATAACTTTGGATTATTCTTTAGACTCTTGCATGAGATGGCTGGGTCAGTATATGTGTGCGGCTCGTCAGGACGAATGCCGCAAGCTGTCCGGGAGGCGCTGATTGAAGCATTCCAGCATGGTGGGGAAACCGACGCAGAGCGCTTTAGCAGAGAAGAGGCAGAAGAGTATTTGCTTGGCATGGAGAAGTCTGGCCGGTACAAGCAGGAGACATGGTAATCGTTAGATCTAGGAATCACATGCTATGGACGTGACGAGATTGAGTGAGTATGGACAGACCCCACCGAACGAGGGCACGATTCAATGAACAGAATAGAGAGACATCTACGTACAATGAGTATGAATCATTTCCCGTAGTCCGATACTCTAAAACATCAATTCAATTCCTAGCCATTCGTACATATAAGCCTTGGGCATGTCGTAGTAACCTCGGTTGGAAGCGGAGGGGCTGAGGCGGAAATGGGAAGAGGGCGTCGGGCCGCGTCGGCGTAACAGCAGCTCTCCGCCCTGGAAAGTCAAGTCACCTGCTTCTGTTCTGCCCCGGATCTGCTCCGACGCATCGGTCCTCATTCACTACCCTCTTCTACCTCCCTTTCTACTCCTAAACGGCTTTCGCCCTCCATTGGCTTGACAGATTAAAAGAGCTTCACAGTATCGTTCATAATGGCCAGCGGTTTGCGCATTTTGGTGCCCGTCAAGCGGGTGATCGACTACGCGGTAAGTTTTTGTGCTCTCCGTCTTCGGTGAAAAGAGTCACCTCCGGCCGCAAACTCACGACCGAAATGCTGGAGGGGCTTACGCTCACATCGCCCTTTTAATGCTACCGAGCCCAATGTGACAAGCTGATGCCAATGACTAATTCCCTGAAAATTAGATCAAACCCCGTATCAACAAGGCCCAGACCGGCGTCGAAACCGCCGGCGTCAAGCACTCGCTCAACCCATTCGACGAACTCTCGATCGAGGAGGCCGTCCGCCTCCGTGAGCGCAAGGGTCCTCTTAAAGTCGAGAACATTCTCGCTCTCTCCGCGGGCGGAGCCAAATGTGCTGATACCCTCCGCACGGCGATGGCCATGGGCGCCGACCGCGCGTTCCACGTCGACGTCGCCGACTCCAACGATGGGGGCCTGGAGCCTCTTACCATCGCGAAGATGCTGAAGGAGGTTGTCAACAAGGAGAACATCAACCTGGTGCTGCTCGGGAAGCAGGCTATCGATGGCGACCAGGGTCAGACCGGTCAGATGCTCGCGGGCCTGTTGGGCTGGCCGCAGGCGACGCAGGCTAGCAAGGTAGATATCAAGGATGAGCAAGGAACAGTGGAGATCACCCACGAGGTTGACGGCGGTGTTGAGACTCTTCGGGCTAAGTTGCCTCTCATCATTACTACCGACTTGCGACTCAACGAGCCGAGGTATGCTACTCTGCCGAACATTATGAAGGCCAAGAAGAAGCCGTTGGAGAAGAAGACACTGGCGGACTTTGGTGTGGAGGATAAGAAGCGCTTGAAGACGCTGAAGGTCACTGGTAAGTTCTTCAGTTGCTGACGCTTTTTTTTTTCTTTTGTGTCAGGGCTAGCGTGTTAACTAAACTCTCTGCAGAACCCCCGGCCCGCCAGGGTGGCGGCAAGGTTGAGGACGTCGATGGATTGATCGGAAAGCTGAAGGAGCTGGGTGCTCTGTGAATCGTATAGTCGGTTAGTGTATGTTTATGATTACTTAGACTTCGTCTACGAGTCAGTAGACCTCTAAATTTCTCCATGTTCAATTTCTCAGTAAAAATATAATTTTCCTGACGTGTCGGAATCCACTACTGCATCGATCAGACTTTTATAAAAGTTCTAGATAAATCGACCTCGTGATGTAGTCACCACGACGTTTCACTCCCAACGAAAAACCACCCTTACATGTTGACACGAACCCAGGATAGATCATCTCTAGCGAATAATTGCCCAAGCCGTTCTAGCGGGCATAGAAACTACCCACTAGCCCCAAGCTAGCGGAACGAACTCCAATCGAGTTATGTAGAATGGATACATCCAAAAGACCCACGCTAAGCCGTCAACGAAATGATATATCAAATCACGGGTAATGCGAACAGACAGGGTCATCCAAGCATGGGCGGCGTTGATCGCAAGTCTCGTGGGAAATGGGAGGATAGTAAAGATCCAGAAAAAAAAAACGATCCAAAAGAAGCTCTCGGGAGTTAATACGTATCGTGAAAGACATCTACGTAAGTCGAGGGGAGATAAATGTCCCTCTGCGGATTCCGAGACATGGTCTCTATATTTAGTCAGGGTATCTGCAACTGACGGGTCTTAGTATACTACTTGTATGTATGTCGTAGTGTATGCAAGTGCTGGTGTCACTCCATATTAAGGGAGATTTGCAGCTGGTCTGTGTCGTGTAGATTACTTTTCTATTTTGGTCTATTACGGCTACTTATGTTCCCTAACGGTGATGAAAATGAAGAGTGACAACAGCGAGACGCTCAAATGGCCATTTGAAATTAGGATTGACTGAATATCACCGATCGAGCCACTAAGTGGCAACAAACAATTATCAACCGATCTTTAATTGATCAGGGGGGTATTAAAAGGTAAAGGGAAAAAAAAAAAACTAAAAAAAGGATAGTAAGCTTAAACTAGTCAAGAAACTAGACTAGATAGACTCGAGCTGTCGGGTCCGATTACTGCGATCGGACGTGCACATCAGACGTATGAGCCATTGTATGTTCCCCGGAGTATACCGAGGCTAGGCTCGTTTATGGCACTCTGGAGTCTATTCGGGTCCGACGTTCGTTTAGTCGCAACTTACCAGATGGGTACTGCACATTCCATGCTTCTTACGAGTGAGGCTTCTGGGCCATCGGTCGAGGCCCTGAGGTCCCGCCGAGCCTGTGTGGAGCGTTTCCTGTGATTCTTCAGTTTCAGAGTAGGTGAATGATGGAACGGTGGACCTTTTTTTTTTTTTTCTTCACCTGTTCGGTGGGTCTTGGTCTTGGGTTCATGGTGAGGGAGTTCGTGACAATGTATCCTGACTACACGTGATATCGAAGAGATGTTCTGATCCGGACGAGTTTCTTGACTTATCACCTTCAATTATCCTGAAGTTGGACCAATGACGTCCTGATATTGAATCAGGGTGTAGCGACTGGGGGCCCAGACTCCGGAGGGCGAATATGTGGGACCGTTGGAGATAGGCAAAAAGAGCGAGCCCCAACACAACAAAAACGAGAAAGGAATAATTAAACAAATCAAATCAAATCGAACAGATCGAGTGTCAGCATCAGAAAAGGATGCTGTGTAGAAAGAGTATGCGCTACCGCCTACTACTGCAGCAAATACATACTAGATGCGATCCCACCCTGACTATAAACACTAGCCATACTCTGAAGAGTTAGTACGGAGCTGTCACTCAGAACTACAGCACATAGCGCATTGGGTTCATGTCAATTTCATACTACCCTATGTGGAGAATTAGGCCCAGTTATGTGTGTCCCAAAAAGCAAAGCCACCGGATCTCGGGATCTGACGACGATCTGAGTATTTCCTTTTTGGGAAGGATCGGTGTTCAGGTGGATGGATCGTTCCTCATGCAATAACCGGGATGGCTTACCAGGTAACTGGAAAGAGCGGGAAAAAGAGGAATCATAATAACCTCACTTCTAAACAATAACCCTTGTCGGCCATCAGGCCAGGGTTGTGGACAAACTATCATGAGCCGAGTTGTATAGTACGCAACGATGATTATCACCCGGGCTTTTTTTTTTTCTTTTTTTCTGCGAAAAATAAAATCAAATCAAATCAAAAAACCGGAAAGTGAAAAGTGACAAAATGAAAATGAAAATTAAACCAGAATAAAATAAATTAGAGAGCAAAAATCGGACGGGCAGAAAATCCCCGAAACTATTGAAACGACTACTGTATCCCTTCCAGGGCATGTCTGGAATTCCAATCAGACCTGTCATGAAACGACGGGGCAAAAAGGAAAGGTTGCAGGGCAATCCCTTGGCTAGGGTTTCATGGGCCCGGGGAATTGACAAGCGGGCCGAGAGGGAGAAGACAGGAGCCCAAATCTAAAATATCATGGTGTGGCTGGGGGCTAAAAGGGATAGGGGAGAAGAATTGGAGCTGTCATATGTATCGGTTGAGAGATCAGCTGCTTTTTCTCTCTGCTTTCCCTTTCTCCCCCCTTGGGTTTCTGGGGTAACTACTTGGATATCAATTGCTTGAAGGGATTCTTCTGACGCCGGTTGCGATAATCGAGTCAAATTCTACGTTGTCAGGCAGGAATCCTGGCACGGAAGGGCACGGATGGGTGCCTTGGGTACATACGAACCGAATATCGTTATTAATTGGGAACGGGAATTGGCAGACCATCTTTGGTTCCATTGATGAAAATGGAGCTGCCTGTGTTACAGAGGGAAATTAAAGCCACACTTACGGAGGATAGACTACGTACTACACCTGCATACACTGCACAGAGAATAGTGAGAATAGAGAAGAAATTTCCCAGAAGAACCATGGATTCGATCTATGAACAAAGGCATTGCCGGGGCGGCTAGACCATTGGCCAAGGGAAGATTATAGGGCTATCAAAGGATCGGGTCAATCTATCGAATCAAATCTCTCTTGGGCTAGTTCAAAGGTAGGTCGCAAAAGAAGTGGAAAAGGGGTGGGGGGAAATAATAAAATCATTATTAAATAAAAAACAAATGATGCCTAGTCAATCTAACTTAAATTTTTTGGTGTAAAGATGAAAGGGTAAAAAAAAAAAGAAAAAGAAAAAGAAAACGACAGAGAGAGAGAGAGAAAAGATGATGAGGCACGACTCCACTCTTGAATGGAGCCGCTGCAACTAATCCATCAATCGATCTCCTGCTTATCAACCGATGACGATGGCGGAGTTACGCCTATGATGACATTCTCCTCTTTTCTCCTCAGCACTACTCCGAGTCCTTTCTTCTTTTTCCCTCGTCGTTGCCATACATCCGATGCTTCTGTTTTTTTTTTATTTCCTTTTTTCTTCGGGATAGTATTCTATGACCACGCACGATTCTGGACGGTTCCTAAGAACCTATCCGGAGCAGCCGAACTACTTCTATACTATTCAATATATATCCCGTCCCTCCCCATCCACCCGATTATTCCTGCTCAGCTCTAAGCCACAGCGCCACTCGCATTGACTCCTTGAACGATGCTTCTTCGATCCAGTATTGTATTGCTGGTCTTGGGCACAGATTCATAGTTACTATTTGGATTACTTTATTTAATACCCGTCCATTTCTGATTTTCCTTTTCTCCACTTCCCTTTTTTTTTTTTTTTTTCAAATTTCTTTTTTTCTATATCTTTTCATATAATTAAATCATCACGACTACTCCCATCTACCAACCATCTATACTATTATTACTACTACTACTATACTACCACCACCTTGATATTCTCTCTCCGAGCCTTTTTGGCCTTCCTAGGGTGTTTCGTGAAGCTAGAATAATAAATATATGTCCCTTGGTCCCCTTCCGCATACTCGATTCCTTGCTCAATTACTATATCGGTTATACTTCCAACATATCCCTTGGGGAATTGACGATCAAAAACCCTGGTGCCTGTCGGAGTCTTAACGATTATTGATTGATTGACGTGAAGTTGCCCTGGATTACTCAGTACTGTTCACGAGTTCGTCCGAGGTAAGCAGGTCCCTTCTTCCATGGTCCCTTGGTGTCCAAGTTCCATGGTTCCCTCTCCCTTTCATGCGTACGACCCGTCGCCACCCACCTCATCGACCGGGGGGTCTGGAACACGGATCGAACGGAGCAAGAACATCCAAAACTGACTTTTTATCCTCTTCTGCTGCACAATGTAGTTCTCGTCTGACAAAAAAAAAAAAAGCTTCAACTGTTGCAGATTTCTCTGACATATCCAACGTCCCGTTTCCTTTCCAGCGACATTCCGGAGCCTCTCGACCACGCATTCTGCGGTTGTGTCAGCAACCCACTGTTCCCGTCTGCTGTTCCATCATACCTACATTTTTCACATCGCTTTAGGAAATCAAGGGCAGCCAATCGCATTACATGTTAAGCTGCATTCGACATATTGAGTTCTCCTGAGGTATCCGCATTCGAGTTATAGAGGTATTTCCTTTGCGTACTGTTCTTTCAAAACTCAACCCTGTCCACCTCCCTTTCCCTATTTCTTTATGTGTGGCCCATAGACGGTAGGCGAGATCCAAATCGTCACAATGGCGCCCTCATTCTGGGAAAAGACTAAAGGGACCTCCAAAAAGGGCTTTGATAAGGCATGGCATACTCTCGACAAATTAGGCGACCCTGTAAATCGCTTGTCCAATCGGGTTGGTGCCGAAGCCTTCTGGCCGATGACCCTGGATCGAGAAAGCGACAAGGCAGCTCGCATTCTACGAAGTTTTTGCAAAGATGGCTTTTACGCCGATGAAGAGACCGAAAAACAAAGCACAGATGATGTGAAGAGTGGCAAGATAGATCGCCCCAAGGGCAAGCAACGAGTCCTGAAGAAGATCCCCACGGAAGTTATCAAGCGTGCTAAAGGTCTCGCCATCTTTACCACGATGCGTACAGGTCTCTGGCTCAGCGGCTCGGGCGGAAGTGGTGTCCTTTTGGCCAAAATCCCCGAGACCGGTGAGTGGAGTCCTCCCTCGGGTATCATGCTTCATACCGCGGGCATTGGCTTTTTGGCGGGCGTTGATATTTACGACTGTGTGGTTGTGATCAATACCTATGAGGCACTAGAGGCATTCAAGAAGGTTCGTTGTACATTGGGCGGAGAAGTTAGCGCATCTGCGGGCCCAGTGGGTATGGGAGGCGTACTCGACTCCGAGGTTCACAAGCGCCAAGCTCCCATATGGACCTACATGAAAAGTCGGGGTCTGTATGCAGGCGTCCAGGTAGATGGAACGATAATCATTGAGCGTACCGACGAGAACGAGCGCTTTTATGGTGAGCGCATCTCAGTGACGGATATTTTGGCCGGGAAAGCGAAACGTCCTCCGACGTCAATAAAAACCCTCATCCAGACCGTCAAGGCGGCCCAGGGCGATAAGGATGTCGATGAAAGCCTGGTGTCTGCCCCGGGAGAACCAACTCCCGGGGATGTAGAAGTACTACCGGCCTCGGGCAGTTCTTCTCCTCCTACCAAGTTTGGAATTCCGGCTCCGGATGACCCCGATCCTTTCGGCGTCAAAGCTTTGGAGGCTGAGGGCCTCTTCATTCGCGAAGCAGGCACAAAAACTCGTCCACACGTGGATAGTTTTGAATTCCGACCCAGCCCTACCAGTCCTATCTATTCGACCTTCAGGCACAGCGTTGATAGTTCACCGCGCAACAGTTGGCGGACTAGTGTACAGAGCTACGCCAGCATCGACAGAGGCACTCAAACCGACGAACCCCCTCTGACGGCCCGTACTTCGATCAGCCGTGCCTCTTCCCGAAGTAATCGAGACTTTGCGGAACGCACAGAGAAAAGTCCGTGGGATCATGAAGAGCGTGGATGGGAAACTATTATCCCAGAGCACCCAGTGGATTACTCCCACAATGCCACGCATGACGGTGACGATGACTTAGTGGACGATGACGTCGAAATTCATGAGGTTAGCAGCGCCACCGTTACGAAATGCGACAGTTTTCCAAGTTCTCCTGTTGAAGATTTGACCTCAACAAGCCCGAAGCGTCAGTCACCTACTTTCACTCGTGCACGACTAGTAACAATCCCCAAGAGGGTTCCTCCTGCACTACCACCGCGAAATCCCTATCGGGGTTATGGCTCAATGTCAACTCCAGTCTCACCTACTGTTGGTCCTCCGTCCCCTAGCAAACGGTCTGTGGTATCGAGCCTGGGAATGGCGGAGCTGAGCAGCTTCGCAGAGCTGCCTTTGGATGTGAAGAATGACGCGTCTAGTGTTTCCTCTGCTGAAGCTTCTCACTTACATCATAATGGCAATATTGATAAGGATGAATTTCATTCCATCTCAACTGTCGGTACGTTCGACTCAGCGTCGGATGGGGACTTTAGTGCCAAAGATGGCTCGGTTACCGGCACTAGTCCCTCGAAGACCGAAGACACTTACCACACTTTCGATGATATAACCGACAACACCCTTTCCAGGCTTAGACATCGTCACCCATCAGACGTCGCAAAACCAACCGTAACCGAACTAGAGCACTCCTCAACCATCACCGAGCATGACTACAAACCTACAATGCACTCTTCGCTTGCCTAAACACTCCTCCCTCATTGCTCCCTTCGGTCTGCTGTGCACACTACCTGACATACCCCTACTTGGATGATTGTCTCTCTGTATATGGCAGCATCGCGAATATCCTACTATATGTATTCGGCACTAGGCTCCATGAGGGCCCCGAACCATGCCTTGTACCTTCTTTCTTTTCCTTCGTGACACCCGTACCCTCTCATCTTATCTTGTATAACTCGCACCTACCTATACGGTCACCAAAATTTTGCTTGCTCATCTGCTGTTTATTTTAGCGTGCTTTTTGTGTTTATCTGGGACATGCGGAATGGAACACTTGGGCGTCATGGGTTGTTTATATTTCTCGAATGATGATTGGGGTGTTGGAAGTATCCCTTGGCTAAGGGCAATATGGCTATGGAATTTTTTGGTTATACCATTTTGGATGTTTCTTTTATATCCCCTTTTGTTATTTACCCATGGAGGCGTCCCGAGTCGAAGTATTCTCTTGAATGAAGATACTTGTTTGTTGAATGTATACAATCTCTTCCGCAATTTCACATAGTAAAGTGAAACATCATAGATTCACAACATGATACTTTTCCTCAGAGTGTTCTTCACATCACCCGGAACATAGTTCAATGGTGACCAAAGACTGAGGATGCCGTCACATGATTCAACACACATGAGGGGTAAGGCATAAAAGAGCCCAACATTGAGCCCCTCCGCCTCTCCAGCATTCCATTTGCAACAATCACCGTATATCCTAGCCATCACTCACCACCAAACAAACGTCACCATGTCCAGACTTCTTATACCAACCAACACCAGATCTCAACTCATCGAGAAAATGATCAACTACACCTTCACCAACCCTGCAACCGTCCATGAAGCCCTCCGCACCCCAGGCTCTATGGCAATCCTCACCCCCCACCGGCTAGACGGACACAAAGACCTCGCCCAGCTGGGTGACGCAGCCTTACGTCTAGTCCTTGCCAAAGACGGATACCAAGCCCATGCAACAAGAGGTAAGTTACTAGTTAGCCCACATCCTACGACTACAAACACACTCACCAATTCACCAGAACAAATCAACGACACCCACAGCGGCAAAGCCAGTAACGCCTTCCTAGCAAGAACTGGTTTCCAAAAGGGCCTCGATCGCTACATCTACGTCAACCCCTCGCAGGGCGGCATCGTCTCCGACAAAATCATGGCTACAACCGTTGAAGCCATCTTGGGCGCCGTCTACATCGACAGTGGGGAGAATATCCAAGCTGTGCGATCCGTTGTGGCGGTGTTGGGTCTCTCCTGGCCTGCATAGAGCCCTTTAGCCTATGATGAGTGGTAATATTCTTCAATAACCCCGCCCCCTTTTCTATTTATGAGAGCATGGGGAACACGCCATGCAGATTAATGTGACTTCAGGTGTACGAATTACTTACCGTCAGGGCACTTTCTGCCCCCTTGTCGTGGGTTATCTCTGCAGCTAGGGGACCGCTTGCGCGATCATCCAGTAGTGATGTCCCCTTCTACACTAGCTGATGATTATAGTATGGATCTGGACATCACCATTGTATGGCCGTGTAAGCGCCCTCTAGTTGCGTTTACAACCTAGGACAAGCGCGCACAGAGTGCCTTGGCAGACAGTAGGGCGTCTGAAGACACGACGTGCGCGAGATCAGCCCAAGTGGGATAGATACAGCGTTGTTGGGAAGGTGCTAATTACTGTTGTCCCTGGCAGACTGATCTCTGGGTCCCATCGACTGGTACTCTGTGAGTTGGTTGCGTAACATGGTTCTGAGGAATTGTTTTGTTGTTGCCAGGTCAGAAAGTTGTTCTCAGGGAAGTGTGCTGTGCTTGGTTTCTTCAACATGGAAATTGGCATGCACGTCGTTTTGCGGTGGTAGTTACCGGTTTATTGTTTCTTTATCGTTTAAGGTACTTCAACATGCCCAATCTTAGGTCTTTCGATTTTTTCGTCTACATATCGAACTATATCCCCGCTGTCCGGAGGGGTGTGGTGTGGTATGGAAAAGATAAGATTGAGGAAATATGGCATTGTCACGGGAATATTATGAGCTTTCATTGAGGATGAGCTAGTTCTTCTGATTGGACAGAATATGCATTGATGATAAATCTAGTATAGGGCTGCATAGCATACCCAGCGGAGTACGTCGTACAACTACATGCTGTATACACATACCAAGAAAAAGTATATAAATCCCAAGCATGGCAACCACATGGGATCCTAAACCCGTGTTTAACCGCCAATAACAGACAAAATTCAGTACAAGTACCAACCCTCGAAAATCCCAAAGTCTCAAAAGTAAGGGAGAGGCTCCCAGCCACACAAACTCACATAACCTACGTTGCGAAGATCCCCCCAGAAAAACAACAAAATATCAACAAAAAAAGAGTTTACTACCTCAGAATAGGGTTACACAAAACCGCCACCCGACAATCTTGGCTCCTCCTACTTACTCACCCACGTCATACAAATGAGCGTCAACCAGTCTCTTGATTGCGCAACGTACTTTTATGTAACGTTATGTGGGTGTACGGCAGTTACCGCCGAAAGAAAAAAAAAAAACGAAGAAAAGGGTTCGATATTCATGCTAGGGATTGAAAGATTAGACTTTCTTCATAGCTACCTTGTTTGTATGTAAGATGTATGTACGTACTCTGTACTGTAGTAGTCTGTAGGGCATGAAAAGTTCATCCCAGGAAAACTTTATATCCGAGAGCCGAATGTCGATCGTTCGTTGATCGGCGGACCCGTTGGAGTGTCTGCGCATTAATGCCACTCTGGAGTTTGGACTACGTATCTATTATCGGTATTTGAATTAATTTTGTTTTTGGAGCCTTATCAGTTCTATAAAAGGTTGTGTTAAGAAAAAGTGGAAAAAGTGACCCCTCCCCCGCCACTTTCTTTATCTTGTTCGAATACTGTATGGTATATTTGTATTTCTCAAAATTCGAGATTTTTTTTTTGGACATCTCAGTGAATATATGTGCTAGTGATAGTTAGTACTCAGGCTACTCGACTCGGCCGAATAACAGGATTCGAAAAATATCGTATCGTCGTCCACTGTAGTCCCTCATGAAGGGACGAGGTAGTATAGTTCCGGAGCCGCAATAGCCGCATATGAGGTTAGGATGGTGGATTTAGACGCGCAACGCCTCACTCCCTCGGGGGACTCAAGGGCAGTAATCTACGTACACTGGGATGTGGTCGGGATTATCAGAGGAGGGATGACTTTGGACTCCTTCTCATACTGTCGACTATACCTGCTACGTCATAGCGCTCGGTTCAGAGGGCGAAAAATTGACTTTGACGCGCGCATTAGCCTCGCTGGATTTCCGTTATGGGCTTATCGCATGAGGGGGATGTCGATCATGTACTGCTGTACTGCACTGTGATCCTGGTGGTTAGCATGATGGCTCATCATGCTGCACACCCCTCCTCCTTTCATACACAATCACTCTCGGTGGAATGTCGACGGGAAAAACACTGGAAAACCGGGGTATCCAGAATGATCCGAAAAATGTTGAAAGGAATGGCCTATGACGTCGGGATCGCGATCGAGGAATCGAAGAGAGGTGTGAAACCTAGCGATTCAGCACCGGAGGCCCTTGAGACTGGGTAGTAGGAATTAACCCTTCTGGGACAAATGAAGAGAAGAAAACGTTGCTGATGAAGCGAGGGGGCCCACCTTTTTCCACGCTAAGGCTTCATTTGGACATTCTTGTAGTGTGACTAAAAAAGCATGCCCCATTCATTCCGTTTGTTACCATATCAACTGCTCATATGACATGCGGTATCGTGATCAAACTCTCCGAGATTAGCGCGAGATGGTTATCTTTTGTTGATGCCGCCGGGTGTGAGGGTCAATATGCCCCAGGGTCCTAGTTGTGAGGTTGCAAAGTGCGAACGATCTTCACCCGGGATTGTATAGAGCCAAGATCGCCTCGCAACTGGGCGAGAAGCATCACCTCAACCCAAAGAAAAGCCATCACCACTGGATCCGGGTGTAAGGCGACGAGGAAGGCGAGCCAACAACAACCACAACCAAACAATAACAACCAAACGGCCTCGCATCTAATGTACGAGGCGGCTGGGCGAAACCCACCAGCTGCGAACTGATGAAGCGGTGAGCGTTGCGTGGCTCCACATGAGCTATGGAGAAAAAAGTATCCGCCAGCAAAACAGTTGCTGCAGCCCCCAATCAGCGTGCAGCATGCATATTAGACCTAATATCATACTTTACTTGCGGCAAGTAGGTCCTCGAGCTGACTGTTTAGCTCCCTAATGGGCCAATACTTGGTCAATGCTGTGTTGATAGGCGAAAAAAAAAATTTTGCAGTTACATGCATCATGGCCTTTGCTCAATCCTCCACGCCAATTGCGACGACTTGTTGCCTATAAAGAGCCGGTCGTAGGATACCAGAGGAAACTGGAATTCTTCTTCCTTTCCTCGTCTTCCTAAAGAACTTGCACATCGTCGCCAGCTTGGCATTGTACATCTACTTGCATATCCCTTTTTCCTTGCTTTGTTTATCTTTTTTCCATAACACATCAACCAATGTTCAGACAATACTCCAACTTCATATCCCATAAGAGGAGAAGGAGCAAAAGTACCTCCCGCGTCTTGTCCGTTGCCCAGTCCGAAGCGGCCTCAGATGCACCAACAGTAAATGAGCCGATTGAGATTTGGACTCACTCGCAGCCCGTAGATGCTGCTACCCAGCAACAGAATGACTGTTTCACCACTCTGACTGCACGGATACACAAATATGATCATGTGGCCCAAAGAGGTAGCGATCGCTTCTTGGAAGACTTGACGGCCACCCTCGACAGCGATGAGGCCAAGTCGAAGAGCAGCTACCTGACCTCTCCGGTGGGAAACTACGCCAGTTTTCTATATCCAGAGTGCATGCCCGAAAGGTTGGAGCTTGTCGCATATTTGACTGAACTCGGAAACGTCCATGACGGTACGTTGACCTGGCTACTAGACGCGAGTCTATATCTAATCATTCATTCAGACCATGCCGATAGCAAGAACACACCTGTGGCAGACAAGCCGGAGGAGCTGGTTGAATCGCCCCGAGCCGAAGCCAGGAAGAAGCTTCTGGAGAAAGTGACGGGAGAACTAACTGATAAGGATGGGCTTGAGATCATCGACTGCTACCGGAGCAACTGGCTTGTCACCCCGGATGTTCCCACTGCCGATAATTGTGCCAATCTTGACGACTACGTGGCTCGTCGGCGTCTTAATGCAGGAATTGAGTAAGTTTATCACATGTCTGCATGTTCCATAAGGTGAAACAGACTCTGACTGGTACAACAGTGTTTACTGGACCCTAATGGGATTTGCCCACGGAACTCGGCTTGGAAAGGAGGACCAGGCGATCGTCAGAGATGCGCTGGACGCAGCTGAGCGAACCATGTTCTTCACCAATGACTACTACAGCTGGCCGAAAGAAAAGCGCGAGGTCAAGAAACGTCGCGTTGCGAACGTGATATTGTTCCTCATGCAGCACCAGAACATGTCTGAGGATGACGCACGTGTGAAGACGAAAGAGCTCATTCTGGAAAATGAAAAGGAATTCATCAAGAGACGTGAGGCGTTATATCAAGCCCATCCAGACCTCGCCCCAAAGCTGCGAAAATGGATGGAGGTCCTGGAAGCTTCCCTTGGTGGGATCCATTACTGGTGCACGAATGCACCTCGGTACGTGGTTCCTGAAACTGCCGAAGAGGAAAGCGATGAGGAATCGGACGAGGAGAGCTCAAGCGACGAGGACGAGTCCGAGGATGAGGAAGAAGAAGAAGATGAAGAAGAAGAAAACGACGAGGAGGAGGTGCGTGTGAATGGCATTGCTGGCCATGTAGAGGGTGGTGATGAGCCCGCAGAAGAGCCAGTATGGACGCCTCTGGTCAACGGAGAAGAACACCCCGCAGTGCACCTTGACGCCACACCCTTACTAGCACCAACAAATTACATCGGGTCTATCTCGGCTAATGAGGTGCAATTGGAGCTGGTTTCCGCACTTAATGCCTGGCTTCAAGTTCCTAACCGACCTCTCACCTTTGTCAAGCAAGTGGTCAATGACCTCCACGACAGTTCTGAGATCCTGGCCAACATTCAGGACCAATCATCTCTCCAACGCCAGAAGACCGCGGCTCACCTCGTCTTCGGTCCCGCCCAGTCCATCAACAGCGCTGCCTACATGTTCGTCCGCGTCGCCAAGACCGTGAACGGGCTCAACTGCCCCGGTATGCTTGACGGCCTCCTGGAGGAGCTGGAAACGCATTTTATCGGACAGTCTTGGGAGCTGAACTGGCGCTTCTCTCTTCAATGCCCGACCGAGCAGGAGTACTTGGAAATGGTCGATAAGAAGAGCGGATCTATCTTCCGGATGTTGGTGCGTCTCATGCAGTCTGCCAGCATGGAAGGCTCGTCCCTGGAATTTGAGCTTCTCACAAAATTATTCGGCCGGTGGTACCAGATCCGCAACGAGTACCTGGGACTGCTTACAGGCAACAACCAAAGAGGCTTCGGTGAAGATCTGGACCACGGCAAGATCTCTTATGCGGTGGTCAGGTGCTGCAACATGGACCCTACCGCCAAGAGTATTATCCTGGGCATCTTCAGACAGAAGGCCGAAGGAGCCTCATTGCCTGCCGAAAGCAGAATCCAGATTTTGGAGCTCCTCCACAAGAGCGGTGCCCTGCAGGCGACTTATGACCTGGTCCGACAGCTGGGTCGGGACATTATGAAGACAGTGAGCGAGCTAGAAATAGCCGCAGGAGAGACCAATCCCGGACTGAAGGCTCTTGTGAAGACGCTGGGTGATATCCCAGCCCCCACTCAGGAGTGAGATCCTTCTTGAGAGCAAGTGTTTGCTCTATGACGCATGACACCGGTTCTATTTTGATATTTTTTTCCCTTTCCCTTACCTACCTATTCCCTTTTATACTTCTGTGACGATTAATGTATATGACGCTCATTTCTGAAACGGTTATAAGGCGATGTCCACATGTGTTATGAATAATGAGATGATTTATTTGCTTCGAATGTCTGGGGTGTACGCTAGTGTCTGATTATTATTCCATTGCAAAAAGTCAATATCTTATTAAATCGTGTCCAAAGTATCTTGGTCGTTCAATATGTCTCACAAGCAAAGGACTCTTGTTTACCGGACGTATAATAGCTCAGTAAGCACTCTTGTGCATGAATGCGTTTCAAGGATGCTTGGCGGGCATTATGGGGAATTAACCAAGCTCGATGTGTACAATACTTCGAAGCAGTTCTGTTTGCAGTGCCCCATGCTGAATATCTCTTAGTAGATACTATTTCTGGTTGTGTATGTGAAGGTGAAAGAAGAAACTTAAATGAGTCGGGGGGATTCTTCTGGACATTCCGATGGATGATCCGGGGAGAGCTAGACCCTTTCCGGTAATAACCTTAAGAAATAAGTTTGAGTTCCAACTGGTTGGATGTACAATTTGGAAGAAACAATACATAATATCAAGTGAGGATTCTTTGCTATCTCCCAGGTTCCCTGGAAGAGACAAAGGATCTTCCTGAGGATGACACTAAAATGCGAGCCTTATCTTTTACGTTTGCATCTTAGACACAAAGTCCCTGGTTTTTAGTGCTGGTAAAGGTGGAGTCTGCTGGAACTCCGCCAATCGACGGGTCTTATCGCAATATCTCCTCCGATATTGTTACATTGATCGTCGGTTTTGCATCCACCAAAGTCACCCGGCTGGTCCGTGATAAAACAGGCCTCCTCATTTATGATGCGGAGTTCTGAGGTTCATCCGACGGTCGAATCCAGGTATAAAACCTGCCTAATATCCACCCTGGTCCCCATTATTTCAATTCCTTCCAACCTTCGCCAGGGTTGAGATCTGGGCCATCGCCACATCCCATGCCGTCTCTTAAATCAGTGATTAATGCTGCTGGCCTGGTCGGTGCCGTCGCCGGCCAGTATTTTCCCCCAACACCCGAAGGCTTGACGGTCATCAATTCCAAGCATCAGGAAGGTGTGAAAATCTCGTATAAAGAAGTAAGTGAGAGACGCATCTGTGGCTGCCTAGATTTGATGCTAATCGAAACTTTGTCAGCCTGGTATTTGCGAAACCACCCCAGGCGTCAAATCATATTCGGGTTACGTGCATCTTCCCCCGGGTACTCTCAACGATGTGTCACTAGACCAAGATTACCCCATAAACACTTTCTTCTGGTTCTTCGAATCTCGGAATGATCCTAGAAATGCCCCTCTTTCTATTTGGATGAATGGTGGGCCAGGAAGCTCTTCAATGATCGGCCTGATGCAGGAGAATGGCCCATGCCGTGTTAACAACGACTCAAATACTACCGAAATCAACCCCTGGTCATGGAACAACTACGTGAATATGCTCTACATTGACCAGCCCAATCAAGTCGGCTTCAGTTATGATGTCCCCACAAATGGTACCTATGACCAGCTTACAGGCAAGTGGGACATTACCAGCTATCCGGGCGGTGTTCCGGAACAGAATAACACGTTTTACGTGGGCACCTTCTCTAGCCAGAACGAATCGACCGCTGCCAACACCACCGAAAACGCTGCCCGCGCTTTGTGGTCATTTGCGCAGACCTGGTTCTCCGAATTCCCGGAGTATAAACCGCGCGATGACCGAGTCAGCATCTGGACGGAGTCCTACGGAGGACGGTACGGGCCATCTTTCACGGCTTACTTCCAAGAACAGAACGAGAAGATCGCCAACGGGTCCATTGAATTAGACGATGCTCACTATATTCACCTGGACACCCTCGGAATTATCAATGGCTGCGTCGACCTCCTAGTGCAGTCGCCATCCTACCCCCAGATAGCATACAACAATACTTATGGCATTGAGGCTATCAACAAAACTGTATATGATATGGCGATGGATGCATGGAGCAAGTCCGGGGGCTGCAAGGATCAAATCATTGAATGTCGTCGGTTGGCCGCAGAGGGGGACCCCAAGATGTACGGCAACAACGAGACCGTCAACAAGGTTTGTGCGAAAGCGAACACATACTGCAGCAACCAAGTAGAGGGCCCGTATTCATTGTACTCTGGGCGAGGCTATTACGATATCTCCCATTTCGATCCCGATCCTTTCCCCCCTCCGTACTACTTTGGTTTCTTAAACCAGCACTGGGTCCAGGGAGCCCTCGGTGTTCCCGTCAACTTCACAGAGTCTGTCGATAGCGTCTACAACGGCTTTTCTGCAACAGGTGACTACCCACGCTCAGATGTACGTGGATACTTGGAGGATATCGCATACGTACTAGACTCTGGCATCAAAGTTGCCCTAGTATATGGCGATCGGGATTACGCTTGCCCCTGGAACGGAGGAGAAGAAGTGAGCTTGAAGGTGGAGTACTCGGATGCCGCCAAGTTCCGCTCTGCGGGCTACGCCCCTCTGAAGACCAATGCATCGTATATCGGTGGCTTGGTACGACAATACGGAAACTTCTCATTCACTCGCGTTTTCGAAGCAGGTCATGAGGTGCCGGCATATCAACCCGAGACGGCGTATGAGATCTTCCACCGAGCATTGTTCAACCGAGACATTGCAACGGGCAAGGTCTCTATTGCCATGAACAACACCTACTCCACTCGCGGGCCCTCTTCGACCTGGAACATTACAAACACGATTCCTGACAGCCCTGCCCCTACCTGCTACATTCTCGAGCTAGGCAGCACTTGCACGAAAGAGCAGACTGCGAGTGTCGTGAACGGAACTGCAGTGATCAAGGATTATATCGTTGTGGATACGGAGTCGTCATGATAATAAGATGCTTTGTTCAGATTTGAGCGTGTATTGGCAATTGCTAGTTGCAATACTATTGTACCTAGAACATTCCTATGAGGAGTAGAATACAGCTGAGATAGTATTACATCAGAATAGCTGGATCATGTGAGAAATATGGGGCTTGTCGGTCAACAAGCTAAACCGTAAAAAGAAAGTTCCCGTCGGATCCAGTGATTGAAGGACTGGAAGGACTGCCATCATCGAAAGAGCTGAGACAGCAGATATGCAACGGAAACCACCGGTGCAACATAGTATACTTACTCCATCGCGATAGGTATAATCGATACGATCTTTTTCACACTAAAATAGTATAGTTGTCTCCGTTCTTATGGCAGAAAAATAGTAGGGGCTTGTGGTATCCGAACATTCTCGAACCTTCGATTGGCAGAGAGGCTTATGCGGTCAACGTCACACGTCACAGTGCTGCTCCATTGGGACTGGTCTGTCGTCACCTGAATGCCGCCGTCTCGCTGCACGATACATGAAGCCACCTTCTACCCTCCTCCAAGTCTCCATTTACTGAATGCCGGTTTATTCGTTTTTGGGCTGCGGTGCATCTTTCTAAGTCTTTCACTTCACGTTCTACGTACCATCCTGAACCTCTTACGCTGACACACTCGACAAGAATTTACTCGGTCGCGAATCTTCTACGTCATTCGAGATCCTACTCCCTTGCCATCAAGGTGGGAAGACCTTTCGACATTGCCTGACATCGACCTGGTCTCTTCCCCGAATTCATTGTTTTATATTCTCATTGGGTCCCTCGAATTAGGGTTTTGTTGATTTTTGCTTGTTCTCAATCTCACTGCATAACTACCCCACTCATTACCTGTTGTTCCCACCATGATTGCAGAAACTAAGCTGTACGATTCCTTGGGTATCAAACCCGACGCATCCCAAGACGAAATTAAAAAAGCATACCGAAAGGGTGCACTGAAATATCATCCGGATAAGAACAAGGATAATCCGTCCGCATCGGAGAAGTTCAAAGGTAGGTGACTTAACAGTGGTTCCACCTTCCGTGCTCCCCCAACATGGGATTCCACATACACTCCCTTCCTTGCAATAGATTTGGATAATAGCTAACACTTGCACAGAGGTATCACAAGCCTACGAAGTTCTGTCCGATCCCGAAAAGCGCAAGATCTATGACCAATTCGGCCTCGACTATCTGATGCGGGGCGGCCCAGCCCCTCCGCCCGGTGGTGGTGCTGGCGGCGCTGGCGGCGCTGGTGGAAGTCCGTTTGACGGTGGAATGCCCGGTGGTTTCTCATTTGGAGGCATGCCAGGAGGAGGTGGTGGTGGTGCCCGGACCTTCCGTTTCTCGACTGGCCCCGGCGGTGGCTCTGGCTTCCAGTTCAGCTCTGCAGATGATATCTTCCGAAACTTCGCCAAGGGTGGAGGCGCTGGCATGGATCATGACGATCTGTTCGATATCTTGGGTGGGATGGGTGGCGGCGGTGGCGGCGCCGGCCGTAGCTTCCGCTCAAGCCGTGGCCCTAGTGCCTTCCAGCAATCTCAGCGCGCACCTACCCCCGAACCGACCGTAGTTGAAAAGGAATTGCCATTGACACTGGAAGAGCTGATGCGCGGAACGACGAAGAAGGTGACCGTGAAGAGCAAGACTTTTGACGCGAGCGGAAAGCGCACTGTCCAGGATGTAACTCTTGAAGCGAACATTAAGCCGGGCTTGCGGACTGGTTCGAAGATCAAGTACAGGGGTGTGGGTGATCAAGAAGAAGGTGGTAGGCAGGATGTCCATCTTATCGTGACAGAGGTAGGTGACACTTCTCGAAACCAGCCCCGCCATTATAGTGGGACTCGTAACTAATTTCCATATAGAAAGAACATCCCAATTTCAAACGCCAGGGAGACAACCTCATTACAACTGTTGAAATCAGCCTAAGAGAGGCTCTCACCGGCTGGGACCGGATCGTGCGTACAATCGATGGAAAGTCGATCCGGGTAGCCAAGCCTGGTCCGACACAACCCGGGTACGAAGAAAGGTTCCCCGGTCAAGGTATGACGATATCAAAGAAGCCAAACGAGCGCGGCGATCTGATAGTTCACGTGAATGTCCGGTTCCCGGCCAGCTTGACGGCTTCTCAGAAAGATATCCTTAAAGACGTGCTTCCCTAATCGTCTTCGTGCTTTTTGTGATTTTCCAGTTAATACCAGCATCGTTGGCGTTGGGGCGAGCGACGGGTTGCTTAATGATGTGATGACATGGATTTTATATGATTTCCACTACTGTATTCTGCTAGATTCTGATAATAAAAGCTACAGCACTTCGTCTTTAATTTCATCCCTGTTGCAGTATGAATTGTATTAAGATATAGTTTTACCAATAGGAGCAGATTATAACACCAAATAATGTAGTAGCACGCACTGCGTTCCAATATATTATTCCAGCAAGACTCCTTATAACGCAACCCCACAGATCGCTCACCAATACTCAACCTCAATCTTTCACTACCATGGATGATAGTACTCCATCTCCCGAAGCATTTAAGCTCGGTAAAGCGGGCCGACCCGTGACTACCTGCCGGAGGTTACACCGGGATATACTACTATTGCTTGAAAACCAGCAAGAGTCAAGGTAGTTTTTAGATTGTGCTGTTACATGACAGCTAATCTACAACATCCTATCTTTACTTTACTGTTACATCTAGCTATGGGATTTCCAGGCACCTCTTAAGGGTTGTTTCCAGAGTGGAACCCTCCCTACATCTTTCTCTAGCTTAGATCCGCTGGCAAGCGCGTGGCTATCTGCCTGCACTGGACGCCCAGTTTGTCATAGTTTCCTTGAGCTATACATAATTCACTATTTACATACATTAAGTACAAGTACTATTAATAATTAGTGAAGTATGCAGAAGCCAAACAGGTTGTCTTGCCCACCTATCGTGGCACGAGGTTACCAATGTTCCGTCCTTAACACAATGCAGGCAAACTCTGATTTCCCTCCCTCTTTTGATTTCATCTATCCCGCAGTCTAGTCATATCTCAAAGCTTGGCGACTAATGAAAAGAATTGAAGATTGGGCTAACGGCGTCATTATACCTGGTACACTGCCTACTGAGCCTGAAGTAAGAAGTAAAGATGGGAAGGAATTCAATAAATGGAAGGGGAATAAATGATTAAACTATCTAGACCATTGGGTTTCGATTCTTTCCTGGCTCAGTACTGATTGTTGAAGGAAGAACCGAGTATCCTAAGCCAACATATTAGATATATATATATAACACTGGGAGGCCATTTAAGATCCCACTAGGTGTCCAGCCCCCACTACGCCCAAGCCAAAAAGGAAAAAAAAAAATAAAAAAAAAAAGCAAAAGAGGCGAAATAAAGAATCAGGACTTAGGAACAAATCAAACCCAACACACATAAGCCTAGTACGTGCTATGTACATTGACTACGGAGGGTGCTAATCACTATCTGTCCCAAAGTGGCAATCCTTATCTTATCTCCAAACACCCACACTAACCCAATCAAGCAACAAGCACTCCCCGTGACGACAAACAATAAATGCGGAGAAACAAGCTCCAACTCCCTTCAACCAGTAATTCACCGACAACACCCCCAATCAAGCAATCAAAAAATGCGTCGCAGAATCACCTTCGTCCAACGCCCCGAGACCCCCTTTTCCCTGGATCAAGCGGTCCTAACACCCGATGCCCTCGCCGTGCATGGGATTGATGCTGCGCGTGAGGAACGGGTGACGTTTAGCGTCGATGAGCTTCCTGAGGAGGTATTTCCCTGCTATTTTTGAGAACCTGTTCTTTGAGTTTTACGTGGCGTTTGGGGCTAATGCTAGATTTTGGTTATTTTAGCTTTCAGAGGTCTTGAAACAATGCCATCAGCTTCATGTCCGGTGGGCGTCGGAAAGGCGGTATGATGCTGTTGCGCCGTTTTCGAGTCGGGTTTCGCCTGGTTTACATGTTTTCTACACGCCTATTGATGGTTCGTCTGAGGAGAACAAATTGTGAGTTTCTACTGCTTGGGATATGGGTGTGTTTGTTAAGTTGATGTTGATGGTATATTGAAGGAAATCATTGTGTGCGCTGTTGAAGAGGACGTTTGATTATGGGTTAAAATGCAAGAGCCCCGAGGTTGGTATTTTGTTTCTCTGTTATGAGAGTACTCACGGTTGACAGACATTGCAGGAATCTTTCACTACGCCTCCCATCCTGTCCACGCGTTTTGCTTCCACCGCTGCTTTCCAATACCACAGTTTACTTCCCTCGCTTGATAATCTAGTTGCGTATATTGAGAACAAGATTTGTTCGTCTTCCGACGAGCAATGTCTCCGTTATGCCGCGTCTATTCGCTCCGCGGACTCAGTTGATATCAACTACGATAGTATATCGCATTCGCTGACTGTCTTGGGGTATTGGTCACAATCGCCGGAGAATGGGTGGACAGATGAGATACGGAAACATGACGCGGGGACGGACCAGGTTGAAGTGGGACTATTAGGCACTGAAACGGCGACAGAGCCCGAGGATATTAAGATGGGAGGGTTACTGGCTGTTGTCGGGAAGGATGATCAGTTAAGTATGCTTAGTAGCGGGTTGCTGAGTGCGTTTGGTGTTGCGTCCGGATATGGTACTGATGATTCACGGGCAGAGCCGACACTCTTCTCTTTCCCCTCTCGCCATCAACCGCTCCCGGAGGACGCAACGTATTCGATCTCGTTTACTTCCCCGACGGGTTTGCATCCAACCATGACCATCTCGATGCCACCATCATCGCTTAACCCCCCGCCTGCTCCGCCGGACGCGACATGCGCGTTTCACACCTACTTGACACTCCCATCGACGATATTTGGCGATAAATATCAGCTTTCGACCACTGACCCGTTGTTTCTGAACTCTCACAACTTGGTCGCGCTTCATGCAGTCGCCGGAGAGACAGACCTTGAGGCGCCAGACTGGTTTGTATCTCGCTGGGGATCAAATTGGTTGCTTGAGCTAGCTACACCTTCTGGATCTGATCAGATTCTAGAGGAGTGGAATATTACTATTCCCCTCCATCTGCGGTACCTGCGGCCGTCCGTGTCTGGTTACCGCCCCGCCCCAGTCCCGTGGCCAGTGGTATTCTGGGCTTGCACGGCCGAGGACGGCACCAAGATGGGGGTAAACCCCTTTGACAGGATCAACCTTGGATGGGAGGGATTGTTTGGGACTCGGACCATGTTCTACCAGCTGCATCCTTCATCTGATCGGCTTGTTGAGGAATTGGAAGTTCCGGTTCTCAAGTTGGATGATAAAGGTTTTTTCCAAAGTAAGGCGATTGAGTTGGGAACCATGATTGTCATTGGCCTCGGGTCGCTGTGGGTATTATGGAAGCTGGGTGCGATAGCCTGGTCTTCTGGAACACGACCCCAGAGAACGAGTACCAAGCAAAAGAAGTCTGAATAGACTGACCACAGCCTTCGTAATATAAGCCTTTGTTTGTCACGCATACGACTGCAATCGTAGGGGCGGCCTCCCGTTCCATACCATCGACTATCACATCACGTGTGGTATCCGGTTTTGGGAGAGCACGCGCTAGTTGTAATCTGAAATATAACATATCACATCCCTGGCTCCGGCAGCGGCCATGAATTGTCGGTTGCTAGGAAACTTTCGAGATCAAAGTTCTGCAGACCCGGCATATCAATCACTAGGTCACTCAACCACGAGAACCCCGGGTAGTCCGCGAGTGAATGAGTCGACTCAATTGCGGGTGCCGTGATCTCTGCCTGTGGTGCCGAGGCAGCGGAGTTGGCACGCAAAACACCCCGAAGAGTTCTTGTATCCTCTTCCTTCCGCCGTTGGTGCAGCAGAATCAGCAGGTATGCCGTACTGTAGGCCTCCCTCATGACGTCTGTATCATACGCTAAGGCGACCTCGCGCAGTGTCTGCATCGCATCGCCAAGCAATGCTAATGAAGCGCGACTGTCGATCGCTAGTAATGTGCAAACGATCTGGAAGGGTACGTTGGCAGTCTGATGCCACGGACTGATCAATGCGATCATGTCGCGAGAAGCCTTCAGGCCCTTTTTTGCTAACTCAAGTACCTGGTCAAGGAGAGCACCAGATATAACAGAGTCGAGACCACGCAAGCGCCGGTAGATGCAGAGCATCAGATTACATTGGGCCAAGGTATGCGAGGCAAGTGGATGAACAACCTCTAGAACATTCGCCAGTGCCGACTCTAGGTCCAGGGAATCCTGCGCTTTGTTTGGGTCCAGACTTTCTGATACTGGGAGAAGGTTGAAGATCTCTCCAGTTGATCTTGGGGCGGGTGGGAGAGATGTTGCTCCGTATAGGACAACGCGGGAACGTCCTAGCTCGAAGGAGATCCAGACGTTTAGATGGCGCGCCATGGCGAATAGCCTCCGCCGGATTTCTGGGTCGCACGGCTCTGCCGATTGGCCGAGGACTGTGTCTGACGAGGGCTCCAGATGAAGACCTGTGGCTTCAATGAGATGCATCAGCGAACAACTAGCCATCCAAGCGGCATCGGGAGCAGCTGTCGTGCGTAGGTATGCCACTCGAAGCACCCAGCCAGTGACAATGTCGACCGATGAAGGTGTTTCAGAGAGCATGTGTTGGTCAAGGATTAGGCGAGCTGCCTCAGCCAGCTGAAGTTCTGTTTGGGGTGCCTGTCTGCGAGAGAAAAGATACCCGAATGCTGCAACGCCGCAGAGCACGGCATCGTACGGTCCGTAGGGCAACGCAGACTCAGATGATGGAGGGAGCCATCGTCTGCCGAGTTGGCGGAATAGATGGTCACGATCGATGAAGCCGTAGCACGGATCTACCTTTTCGAAAAACGTGGCGGCTAGCAGCTTCATTTCTTCCAGGGAAATGATGTCTACAACGATTACTGCTTTGGGCATGGACGACATGGGCATCGAAGAAGGGGTCGGATGGCGAGCGCCCACGTTCCAGGCAAACAGGTCTAGCCTCGGGGCATTAGCTGGGTCGATCTTGAGTCCCAATCTCCGCACAAATGCCGCTCCCGAGTTGGCTTCCAAGGAGTTAACAGGCATGTCAGGGGAGTCGCCTGTAGTTCCCTCGCGGTGACTCTTGGAAATAGTTTCATTACGGGAAGTAGTGCTGGCTATTGGAGGAATTGATTGGTGCGGCCTAAAAGACCTTGCGTCCTTTTTCTTGCGGGACAACAGATCGTAGTGGCAGTCGATGCCAAATTGACAACATGTGCTGCACGGCTGGTCGCCGGTGCATTTACGTTTGCGTGATTGGCAGGAGACGCAAGCGACCCTGGAGCGTTTTCTCACCGTCTCACTCATTCTTTGGAGAGTATGGACTCAAACCATTGTTTCCGTTCGGTTTAATGTCTCGTGAGGTAAATAGTAAGTGGACCGAGGCTTGGTGGATGAACCGAATCAACTGATTTAAGGTCCCCTTACGCAGATCGGGTATAGCGTCGCCCACTCCTCTTGGCATATTGCCCTAACAAACAATCCATTACGAGCCCTACCAGAGTAGGACGTCACAATTACTATTGGCATGCGTTGAGTATGAAGTAATATGTCCTCCTTACTGTACCGAATGTTAGGTAGATCATGATGCTTCCTTGACCAAGGATTTCTCAGTCCAAGAAGACATGGTTATTACTGCCCTATCCCAGATGACTCGGTATTCTCGGGATCATTCCTACGATGGCAATCCGCACTGCTACATCTGCGGTTATACATTTTATATGGAACCTTGTAATTCGCAGCATGGTTTCAAGGCCACGAGCCTACGCAAGTACGATGGAGCAGTATTCCACAGCGCCGAGGAAGTAGAAGATCTTCATCTCTTCTGGAGAAAGGCCTGGTGGGCTGTCCATCGCATGAGTGAGCCACCCATACGCAATCAAACATTCATATGTGATATTTTGACACCCCATAAGTTCTCTGTAACCAGAAGGAGCATATATGTCAAATCTCAGGCGTTGCGGTATGCACCATCATGTCGGCTCCCTTGAACGAGGAACATGGTCTGGTCTCGCGCCCGTGGACGCAAAGACAAATTGAACGAGTTGTGGAACCCAGATTTCACGACTATTATAGAGAACCACGGCCTCACTGGGTGTGGGTGGGCTACCGTGTTCACGCCCGTTGCTGGGAGCTCCTCTCGTACCATGAGCTGGGTGCTATTGCGGAGAAAGACCTGGCAATTGTTCTCGCGGCTCTTCGACAGCGATTTAAGTTGGGGCGCCAGAGAAAGGCTGGGATCCCGGAGATGACTGCTGAAGGTAGTATCACCGTTTATTATTTATCTGCGTGTTTATCCTTCTAGTATGGCACTGACTGCTGGGTAATACGCATCTGGTCTGCGCTAGATCCTGTCCGCACAAAGTGCGTTTCAGAGGCCATTGGTCTAGCATTAGAACAGGCAGATCGGAGGAAGTTAAAGAGCAAACATCGCCGACCTGTCCGTAAACGCGTGCGGCAGGTCAGAACTTGTAACCTCCCGGTGGAGATCCTCTACATGATCGCTGAATACCTCCCATCGCAGGCTATAGCCAATATGGAGAGGGCTTGGGGTTTTCGTTTTGGTAACACCTTCTGGTATTCTAGGATCCCTACTAAGATATTTCATGAAGTACAGGATGTTGCAGATGAGGACCTCGATTGGCAGCGTCTATGCTTGAAACTGGAAAGACGGCTTGAGAAATCCGAGGCTTTGAATACACGGAGATATTTATTGAAATGCCTGGATGAGATACTGAGCATTGTGAAAACGTTGATGGACAGTTGAATCTAAAACATTGTTTTACAGAAACAGTTGATACCTTCACGAGGCAGGCTTATGTACATCTTCAACCCCTAGTCATCGTAACCTTACACGGAAACCCCTGAGCAGGATGCCCCGACCCCTTCTGCACCATATAGACCCGCTCCCCATTCATAGTCCTGATACCCGCAGACGAGTGTAGACGATCCCACTCCGCATACTGGTCGTGTACATCGAATTCCCGCACGGTCATCAAAAGCGAGACCTTGATACTAACGAGCGACATGTTCTGCCCAACACAATTGCGGGGCCCTTGTTCAAAAGGCCGCCAACCCCCATTCGGGGGGTACAGAGGATGACCAGGTTTCACGAGCCAGCGGTCGGGGATAAACGAGTGCGGCTCCGGCCACGAGTTCGCGTTGCGCTGGATAGCACCGTGGAGGGCCCAAATAGCGAAGCCTTCCACGGGGAACGCTTTACCGTTCTGCTCACGGAGCACCACGCCTGGAAGCCCATCTCTCAGTGCGTTGGCAGGAGGATGGAGACGCAATGTCTCTTTGATCACTGCCAACGTGTACGGGAGCTGGTTGATCGCTCTGGGATGCTGTCTGAGCAGCTCCGCAGCGCTATACAATCCACAGACTTCATCGTGTTCGGCGCGGACTTTGGCTAGGATTTCTGGGTGTTTGGACAGCTGGTATAGACAGAATACAATAGTCACGGCAGTCGAATCGTGTCCAACGAAAAGAAAGAGCCGAACCTGGAAAGTAGCCCACGTTTTGAACCCAGGATCGAGCTTTTGTCCCGCTGCTCGCGTCTTCATGTACTCCGCGATGGCCATATCCATGATCGATTGGTGTCGTGTAGGGGGTTTGTTCTTGTTTTGCAGCCATTCCTGGTACCGCTTTTCTAGTTCAATCCCGATGTAGTGATTCATCGTGCGGCTGTTTTGCCATTGTTTCAAGAATCGTACTGGATTCAACTTCTGCAACGGGTTGGCCGCCTCCACAGAAGACCGGCTGATCGTGTCTCTCATCGATGCAGCAATCGGGTTGTATCCCTGTTGGTATCTGAAGCGAGTGTTTCTGTAGGGAGCTCATTAGTGCTTTTGATACTAGCGATGCGCCGGGAATAGGTAATTACAATGCTTCATGTCCGATAATATCCATCACATAACTGCAAGCCACCTGGTCCAGAGAAAACGTATCTCCCTTTCTCGCGTGCTCCCGCAGAATGTCTACAAACACCTCTGCTTCCTCTACAATTTGAGGAACACGTGCCATGACAGCCGACATACTGAACCCATAGTTGAATAGTTCCCGTGCCCGCTTCCACTCCGCACCATTCGCCACGAACAAGTTCGGTCCACCAGCCATCTCCCCGATGATCGGGGCAAGCACATCTGGTTTGGGAAGATCATACGTCTGGCACGCCTGCGCAGCCAGCTCAGGCGAGGCAACAAGAAACATCGGGACACCGAATGGCCAGACATCCAGGTAGTAACCGGCCTGCAGCTCGGGGTTCTGGGATGCAAGGGCCCCGAAAGCCTGAGCTTGTTGCATATCGCTGGGAAATTGCTTGGAAAACCCAGCTACGACGTGGAGATGCCCTAGAATTGGGTTCCAGGGAGGCATTGGCTGTCAGTGTCTGTTAGTTGGGAGGACGTAGGGGATGATAGAGGGAGCTTACCATTCCTTGTTTCTTGAGACGGTAAAAGATAAGTCGTACTTTGATCATCTTGTAGAAGAACTAAATGAGGTAGGCTGCTGCCAGGCCTATGGCTATGCGGCCTGCGAATTTGCCCCATTCGCTGTTGTGATCCAGCATTACTGAAGTTGGGCGGTTCTTTTAGTATGATCTCAGGTGTCCTTGGGCCAAGCGCAGATGGGAGAGAATAAAAGGAAAGACGAGCAGGTGTGGGATCAAGGGGAGATGCTCGAAGGTCATGGCGGCGTTGAGGCTGACCGGAAGGAATCCGAAGGATGTTAGCTCCTCATCTCGCCCCTGTCAGACTAACCAATGTTTCTTTCCATGTCGCCTATTGTGGTGTGGAGACTTGATGTAAGCAAGCTATTTGGTCTAAATTAGTTATATTGCGCTAAGACTGGGCAAGTCTCGCGGATGGACTAACGGCGAATTGTATATCTGCATTTGGAATCATCGAAGATAGGGCTGTATATATCAGTCGACTTACCACCAGTTTCTCCTTTGTTACAACAACCCACCACTTCCTGCTTATCTATAGACGAAAGATAATCACCACATGGGGCCATTTTACTAAGCAAAACTACACTATTGGCTGTGCCTGCAGCTACCCTGTATATGAACCGCCGACTCCCTGACTCAGTCCTCATAGTTACGGCCATCGGGATAACCCATGAGGTCCTCCAGTTCCTTAAGATCAGGCATACCCGCAGGCCCCGGCATGTAATGCACGTTGTCACGAAACGTGGTACCATTCCACCAGAGCTCGTTCTTGTGAAGGGCATCCATGATCCGCGGGGCATCTATATATGTCCGAATCTCGACCATCTGATCTTGATACCATCTGGTCACCCACACATTTACAATGTCAAAATCATCCCCTGGTATCATCACAAAGCACATGAGCACTATCCCAACGAGGTCATACTGGGGATATACATACCAGAGTTCATGACGCCCTTGAAGTTAATCTCTGATACTGACCAAGCACTATTACAACCCCCATGGATAGCCTGCGGATGAATCTCGAACTTGTCTGCATGGTCCATGAACAAAACGCTCACTCGACGCAATGCATTGACATAAAAATGGAGCAGGTCGTTGTAATGGCCGGCTATGGGGTGGTGGCCCACCACAGTGAAGCTGACATTCTTGTGGATTAGGGTAAATAATTTATTCATGTCTTTCTCAAGATCTTTGAAGGAGTCCCAGATGTGCATTTGCGTCACGTATTTGCAGGTGGTTGAAGGATTGTCGAATCGGAATCCTTCTCGCTCCTTGTCCCGGGGGTTCAGGGGGTTGTCGATGATTCCATCGCCATTGCAGTGGCCGTCTGGATCGACGATGCCGGAGCCGTCGCAGCCCGGGTCTTCCCAGTGGTTAGGAGACTGTGGAATGAGTTGCTGGTGGGATGGGGATTGCGCTCGTCCCCAGGAGCAGGAGAGTGTGAGTAGAATAGTTGCCACTAAGGCTTGGAGAACGGGTTTGAATATAGTCATGATAGTATAGAGCTATTACTAGTTGACGCTACCAATTTTGATTTAAATATATCGTTAATGAGTCTAGTCTATATAGTATGTAGAAGGGCCTTTATGAGTCGGAATCTATACATTTTTGGAATTTAAGTATGGACATCGCTGAACTCCCCGGGAGTTTAAATGTAAAAATCCACCGATGTTGCCAATTTATCAGATGGCGCTCGAGTTGTGCCACCTCTTTGTATATTTCCCTATGAGTAGCAGTGGGAGTTTCTCGGAGATCATTCGGCTATGCCGATGAGAAAAGTTGCCGTCGGTGCCAAGACGATTCCCCTGATAAAATGAAATTCCCCGGACTCTTTCGCACCGGAAGACAGCGGCCCAGACTCTGTCATTGGTAGGACCCGAGAAGTGAAAAATTTTCTTTACCATTGGAAATAGTCTAGCCTGGCATCGTGCTCGAATAGGTGAGAAAGGACAACTCATCCGCGACGATCAAGGCCCACTAGTGTCAGCTACCCAATCACTTGATTATCCTGCGTGAGTCAGGGTGGCGATTTCTTCTGTTCTTGTACTAACTTATCAATTTCAAATTCAATTGATCAAGGATTGGTGTTAGTTCGTCTATTGTGTATGATATGATATGATTGTCGACTTTTCAAGGGAGGGTTATGGCAATGGATTCAGTTCAGTCGGTGTAGCCCTTCCTTAACGTAACCAACCACCGGGATTCCTTTTATGGGGGTGTGTTAAGTGCGGAGGGCGTAAAAAGATAATGCCATGGTGGAGAATCGATTGGATAATTGGGTTTATTTGAAGGCGCCGATACTGATAGAAAAAAGTTGCCATTCCGATAGCGCAGGCAGATCGAGCCAATAATCGGCCCCCTGATTGGTCGGGATCCCACAGAAGTCTGTGTAGCGCGTCACGTGCCTCCGACCGGGCCGGCGCTGAGTTTCTTCCGCTCTTCCTTAAGATCCGCCGCTCTCGTCACTCTTTCTCTTCCTCTTTCTTCTCTTCCTATTGACTCATTCCATATCTCCAACGATTCAGACTCTCTGCACGCACATCTCGTCGATGTCGATCTAAGCAACATTTTCTCAATTCCTATCTTATCCATTTTTTAGTGACTGGTAACAGCACCGTCGCGCTTATGCGTTTTTTCTCGACTTTCACTTCTCAGGTATGCAGACCCCCAGTGCATGTCCACGTGACACCCCCGTGATGGACAAACTTGTCTGTTTCCGGGTCGTGGATGACGACTTGTATTGTCGGTATGGATCAATTGGGACTAACGAGGGATTGCTTGCAGGACTACATCTCGGATCATCTCTGGAAAGCTTCCGGAAACTACTGAACCCTTTCTCAAACACCAACCGTACACTCTTCTACTTTAAAACACTTGACATAACATGTTCGCTGCCCGAATCTTCAAGGCAATGCCCGCCAGGGCCTCTGCCTTCCCTTCCGTGAATGCTTCTATCCAGTCTCGGTTCATGGCCACTGTGCGCAACGGTCGCGTTGCCCATGAGCGTGCCACCTTCACGATCCGAGATGGTCCTATCTTCCACGGGAAGTCGTTCGGAGCTCGCTCCAACATCTCCGGCGAGGCTGTCTTCACGACTTCCCTGGTTGGATACCCCGAGTCCTTGACTGACCCCTCCTACCGTGGTCAGATCCTGGTCTTCACCCAGCCCCTGATTGGCAACTACGGTGTTCCCTCGACCGAGAAGGACAAGCACGGCCTTCTTAAATACTTTGAGTCTCCTCATCTCCAGGCTGCTGGTGTTGTGGTTGCCGATGTGGCTGAGCAATACAGCCATTGGACCGCCGTCCAGAGCCTTGGCGAATGGTGTGCTCGTGAGGGCGTCCCTGCCATCTCCGGTGTTGACACCCGTGCCATTGTCACCTACCTGCGTGAGCAGGGTTCTTCTCTGGCCCGTATCACTGTTGGTGAGGAATACGACGCCGACCAGGATGAAGCTTTCGTGGACCCTGAGCAGATCCACCTCGTCCGTCAGGTCAGCACCAAGGCCCCCTTCCACGTGAGTGCCGCCGATCCTCAGTGCCACGTTGCCGTCATCGATTGTGGTGTCAAGGAGAACATTCTCCGTAGCTTGGTCAGCCGTGGAGCCAGTATCACTGTGTTCCCCTACGACTACCCTATCCACAAGGTTGCCCACCACTTCGATGGTGTCTTCATCTCCAACGGCCCTGGTGACCCTACCCACTGCCAGGAGACCGCCTACCACCTGCGCCGCTTGATGGAGACCTCCCAGGTGCCCATCTTTGGTATTTGCTTGGGACACCAGCTGTTGGCCCTTGCTATTGGTGCTCGTACCGTCAAGCTCAAGTACGGTAACCGTGCCCACAACATTCCCGCTTTGGACATGAGCACTGGTCGTTGCCACATCACCAGCCAGAACCACGGTTATGCCGTTGATGCTTCGACTTTGCCGTCCGACTGGAAGCCCTACTTCGTGAACTTGAATGACTCTAGCAATGAGGGTATGATCCACAAGACCCGTCCCATCTTCAGCACTCAGTTCCACCCCGAGGCCAAGGGCGGCCCGCTCGACTCCTCCTATCTGTTCGACATCTACCTTGACAGCGTGCGCAAGTACAAGGCTAGCCAGTCGGCTTTCCACCCCACTCGGGATAGCATGCCTAGCCCTCTCTTGGTCGATCTCCTTGCTAAGGAGCGTGTTGGCGTGCAGCCCACCATTGGCATGCAGAATGTGGCCGCCGCCGCTGCTGCTGCCGCCTAAAAAATTGTCGTCATGGGTTTGGTCTTTTGTGCGTGGAGTTTGGGTTAATGGGTTATGTGAATGTCATTCAATTCAGGTTAATATTTAGTATGGTTCATATGGGTCTATTTAGCAATTGAAAAAACTTGCTGTTCAAACTTGCAGTATTTTGAGCATCGTGTAAATGCTACTGAATGTTGTGTAAACACTAAGCGTAGAAGTTCTAGTCTGTAATATCTGGCTTCGCTTCAGGGTCACGTCATATTTAGTTCTAAGGCATTCGTCTCATAGGAGTAACCCCCATATCGCAATTACTTCGCAACTATCGAAACCACATCCTCATCCGCCACAATATGTCCCAATCCCACTCGTTGCGGGATATGCCGCGCACTTGCACCCCACACCAAAGCATACTTAAACGATTCTTTCAACGTCCGGTGAATGCTATCGCAGACGTCCTCGATGGAAGAATTGCTCCGTACAATCAACGCTTCGCTGAAATCAGGCTCTTCTCCTTTCCTGCTCAACGTTAGATATCTATCTTCGGGTTACCACGCTGCAGGATAGACGCATACCGTTTCGTGTATACTCTGATCAAACGAAGTTCTTTCCAGATCCGTTCAACTACTTCCTGGACGCCGAGGTCTAGTTCACAACTCATTACGGCGGTATGCGGTTCACGGGCGAGTTGGTTCAGGAAGTCGAGACTGATGCTGTCGATCTTGTTATATACGTAGAGACTGTTTGAGTGTTAGTTTTGTTCAGGTACAACGTTTAAAAGCGTGGGGTTTGATTGGTCTCACCATCTGATGTATTTTCTGTGGTCTTTCATGATGACGTCGATGAAGTCGTCGATTGTTGCTGTTGCGATATACCTTAGTATATAATTGGCCACTGTGGTTGGGTATTAGGGACATACCGTATTCATCTCGGATCAAAACTTCACAGTTTAGCATCTTGTAGTCACGGAGGACGTTGAAGATGAGCTTTTCGTCGAGGTATTTTGGGGGTGTCTGGAAGGTGATCTTCACTCCGCCTGCTTTCTTTTGTTTGAGGTAGATGTTTCTGGACCTGTTAGCGAGATGCTCGCTGGGTTCAATTCCAGGGAACAATTACTTACGGAGGCTCCTTGTTCAGACGAATACCAACGGCATCCAATTCCGCCTCTAGGAGTGCCCGCTGTTCTGCTCGCTTAGTGGCATCGAGAACCATGAGAATCAAATCACTAGTCTGGTAACCAGTTAGACAGGTGGTTGCCCATCATAACTTTCTCCAACCACCGCCCGGAGAAAGTAAGAAGAAAGTGGGCAATAAACTCACCTTAGCAGCAGAGATAACCTGACGGCCTCTTCCCTTACCCTCAGCAGCACCCTCGATGATACCAGGAAGATCAAGAATCTGGATCTCCGCACCCCCATATTCCAAAACACCCGGGATAGCAGTCAACGTGGTGAAAGAGTACGCCGCAGCCTCACTCCTCGTCTTCGTGATCTTGCTCAGGAACGTCGATTTACCGACGGAGGGGAAACCGACAAGGGCAACACGCGCATCACCACTCTTGCTGACATCGAAACCTGCGCCAGCGCCGCCGGAACCGCCTGTCGGCTCTAGAAGTTGGGCTCTTAATCGGGCGAGCTTTCTGTTGGAGTGGTTAGCTAGCTGGGTTGCTTTGATTGCGTGGAGTTGGGTTGAGGTTCGTACCCCTTCAGCAGACCCAGATGGTATTCTGGTCATTGGTTAGAATTCGACAATTTGCTTTAACATGGGCGATGTGGTTGTGGTATGCGCACCTGTGGCCTTGTTCTCTGGTATCGAATTAGCGGCGGGGTTCTGCATAAAGCCGGGGAAGAGTAATGGGATGAAAGAAGCTTACTCTGCGTCCTGCGCATCTCATCTTCAATCCTATTATTTGATATCAGAATCTAGTTCCATTTGAAAAGCCCATTCCGAGGCGATTCGTCCATCCAAACGTACTCTTTGATCTTCTCCGTGATGTTCACCATTTTGCTGGTTGGGAGCCCCGCGGACTCAAAATTCAGCGATAACAAGTACTACTGCGACGAGGCTGCCCGTGATTCGGCTTCCCTGGAGGGTGTCAGATGTAGAATATGCCAGAGATACCAGGCTACAGGTATTCTGGTCCGATCTTCTGCGATAAGAGTGGGGAGCCTGGGGGGAACAATCATGTATCAAAATCTCGCAAAATAACTGCCTTACATAATCGGTGGTTCTGGGGGATTCTGCCGTATATTAGTTACCGCTGTCCCGACCGCTTGTAGGGTCTCTTTGATCTCAGAACATGATAGTATCTATTTCATCATGCATTGAATAGGGAAGCTATATCCTGAGTTCAAAATGTAAGTCGCTCAGTTACACTTAATCTACTTTATATGAATCCCTTTCTCAGTATCGCAGTATAGGCGGGATATCAATACCACATGCATCTACCATCGCAATCGGCATAACCATAATCCGACCAGATTCCAGACGGCAAGCTCGATTAATCTCATCCCAGACCGCGATAAAGATCAAGACAGAACCTCCAACCTCCAACCTAAACCCCACCACAACAATCATGGCAGACACCGCAGTAGCTGAACCCCCCCAATCCACGGAACCCACAGCTTCACCCGAGGAAACAAATGCCCCAGACCACCAAGTCGCCAGCGAGGAAAATGCCCTCGCCGTGACCCAGCCCGCCGAGTCCGCTGTCGCGGAAGGCGCACCGAAGAAGAAGAAGATCATTAGAAAGAAGCGCCGTCCAGCACGCATCCAGGTCGATCCCGCCACAGTCAAGTCCGAACCGCCTCCGCAGACGGGTACAGTTTTTAACATCTGGTATAATGTACGTTTTATATTTTGTCCCTTGTACGCAATCGCGCTATGCGATTTGTGTCTATATCAATAATTTGAACAACAGAAGCTAACAATGACCCCCAGAAATGGTCCGGCGGCGACAGAGAAGACAGCTACCTATCGAAACAACACGCCCCATCACGATGCAACATCTCCAAAGATAGCGGCTACACGCGCGCCGACAAGGTTACCGGCTCCTACTTCTGTCTGTTCTTCGCGCGCGGCGTCTGTCACCTCGGACCGGAATGCCAGTATCTGCACCGTCTACCCACTATCCATGATCTCTTCAGTCCGAACGTCGACTGTTTCGGCCGCGACAAGTTTAGCGACTACCGTGATGACATGGGCGGTGTTGGATCGTTTATGCGCCAGAACCGCACGCTGTATGTGGGTCGGATTCACGTTACGGATGATATTGAGGAGGTTGTTGCACGGCATTTTGCCGAGTGGGGTGAGATTGAGAGAATACGTGTGTTGACGTCGAGGGGTGTGGCTTTCGTCACGTATACTACTCTAGCACAGGCGGAGTTTGCGAAGGAGGCTATGGCGCATCAGTGTAAGTTCTTCTTTCTTTTGTTGAGCTGTTGAGGGTTGTTCTGGTGTGCTGATTGTCTGGAAGCTCTCGACAATAATGAGATCTTGAATGTGCGTTGGGCGACGGTCGACCCGAACCCACTGGCTCAGAAGCGTGAGGCGAGAAGGCTGGAGGAACAAGCTGCGGAGGCGGTACGCAGGGCGTTGCCGGCGGACTTTGTTGCTGAACTGGAAGGGAGGGATCCTGAAGCTCGAAAGAGGAAGAAGATCGAAGGCAGTTTCGGTTTGCAAGGGTATGAGCCTCCTGATGAGGTCTGGTATACCCGGACGAAGCAGTTGGAGGATGCTGGACAGGGAGACCAAGGTCAGCTAGAAGCTCCGAACCAACCACTCATGCTTGAGAACACGTCTTCTGCTTCTGCCCCTCCGCAGGAATCGGAAAGCGGTGGCATATTCTCAAGCTCTACTGTTGCGGCATTGAGGGGACTAGCAGGCGGAAATGTTACAACACAAGCAGCTCCGCAAGCCTCGGGGGGGCCTCTGGTAGGGTACGGAAGCGATGATGAAAGTGATTAAACCGGTTTATGGTATATTGCGCTTCAAATTATGTATATTAAGAAAGATACCTTGAAACGTCACATTATTTGCTCGCTGAATTGCATGGTATATTTGCGGGTATAGTTCGCTATAAAATGCTGAGAGGAGATAAACATCCAACACCAATGCCAATAATATATCGAATGAAAACCAAAAATGAATAGTACGGTTATTTCAGGCATAAAAGAACGAGGAACAAAGGAAATATGCATAACACATGTCACATGACTCTTTCTCTTACTTGCTGCGTCCTAGATCATAATAAACACATGAACCTGTACGATAATTGTATAGAAAAGCGTTGCTGAAGTTGTCCGCGCCGTCATTGACATGGTTCTCGTGAGCCAGGTCATTGAGTAGCTCGTGGACTTGACTGAGGTACTTCCTCTCAGTCAAGGGGGCACTCTGAATGACTGTGCGCCAGCTCTCGGGGTCCGATAGTCGGGTGTCTCTGATCGCCTCGAGTATATCGTCGCGCGTATCAATCGCGGCAATAGGCCCATTCAAGGCATCCTCGATTACCTCGCGAGAACGGAAAAGAGCTATTTTTCGTTAGTAAACACTAAGCACCATAAAGCAGGTTAAGGCATACCATTCTCAACAATATTCCTCCTATTAGTCTTCTTGCTCCTATGTTGAGGGACTAGAATGCGCACATCGCTCGACCTTTCGCCGTCAATACCAGGGTCTGGTTGGCTAGGCATTCGAGATTGGCGGAAGTCGACTGCGCCCTCACGTTGATTGCGAGCACGGATTTCATTTCGAAGCCATGGTATAAGCTCAGAGCTCCTTAAATCGAATTCCTCCTTAGGAACCAGACACCGGACCTTAAAGCCTCGTTCCTGGCTATCCTGCTTGACAATAACGATCCAACTATGATTATGCTCTTTGTATTGAGAGAGAAGTTCTTCAAGAGACGAGGCATCAACGGCTAGCTCAGCACTAATGTCATTGGCCCATAAATCCTGAACAACTTTAATACCTGTCGTGCGTAAAATCGTTGGGTCAAAGCTTGCAACGAGTACATCGCATCTCCTGGTCTTCCAAAAAGCAGCGGGTTCAACATCATGGTGCTTAACATGGCTTTTGGATGAGCCTTTTATATACTCGAGCATGGCAGTGCTGAGTCGATCCCAGCTCAAATTGAAGCCCACAGCATGAGTTTGAGGACGGCTCGCTAAGACCTTGGGGCGGAACTCTTGGACTAAGGAGTCATACCGACCACCAGCCGCGAAAACATCACGTCGCTTGTTGTCAAACACGCACTGGAACAGAATGCTACCCCGGAAGAACTTGTCGTTCAAACTCCCGAGAGGGTTGACGTAAACCTTTCGTTTTACGTCGAAGCATTGGAGATACGCCATCAGCCAATTTATTCGAACGAAGATGGGAGTCAAGCGTTCGGCGAATTCGGTACCCTCCATGATGGCTCGCAGACGCTTCAGCGTCTGCTTCGGGGAGTCACGAAAATCGAACCTTGCAAGCTCATCCAAGGAAGTGGAGGCAACACCGATTGCCGGCGACCGAAGTTCACTTCTAATCTTCTGCATGGTCCATTTTCCCACGTTTAGTTTGCTGACGACCTCCTTGACTAGCGGAATCTGGGCAGGAGTGATACGGCAGAATTCCATAATAAGTTGAAGTAGGTCCGAGTGGTTTACAAGGAAACACATAGAAGCCGACCTCAAAGGCGGAAATTCTTCAATAATCTCATCGAGAACCTTAATGACTTCAGCTTCCTTCAGAGCCAGATCCAACGTGTTGTGTGAAACGATATCGAAGTCCACCTCTTTGTGAGTCCGAGGCTCACCACCATGAGAAGTCTCCCTGTAGACAGTACCGAATGCGAATGTTTTCTCAAGGGAAGGATCTTGTCGCGGGATGGCGCGTGCGTTTGGCAGAGTCAGATCGAAAGGCAACTGAAGCACGTTACCAGTGGAGTCAAGCAGCCGAACAGCTCCGTTGTTGTAATGTTGAGACCTTGGGAACAGCATCTGCCTTGTAGTTTCCACAGACCCATGCCTGCGGAAAATAGAGGTCAAACGTTCCTTGACTAAACCTTGAACCAGCAGCTCATTGGCCGCTGGTGTCCCGCGGGAATCCATGTCCCAGGCGATGTCTTCGAACTTCTTAGGAGACTGTGAGAAGATAGCCGACAAAATCTTCTTATAATCAGGTGAGCTAGGATCAGACAGTAAGTGCATGATCGCCCGCCTAAAGGTTTCCTCTTCGACCTGGAGAGGAATCTGGCCACTGTGGAGAAGTTCTGAAGCTGAAGGTCGTTCGCTGGGGTTGTGGCTCAATAGTGACTCGATGATTTTTCCTTGGAGAGCTTTTTCCGAATACTGGAAAATAGGTGGTAACGTATGCTCCTTCTCCCTAATAGCGCGGAGTGTCTGGTCACGTTCCATGCCGGTCCCAAGGGGATAACACATTTCAAATAAAATGACTCCCAAAGAGTACATATCAACTTTGTCATTATAGTTACCCGTAAAACCGGACTTCATTTCTGGTGCGACATAGTATGTCGTACCCAAGCTGCGAGTAAAGTCTCCTTCAAAATCTGCAGCCGTCGAAGAGCGCACAGCTGTCGTGAATTGGCCACTTGTGGCAAGACCGAAGTCTCCGATGCGAGGATTATTGGCAACATCGATGAAAATGTTGTCGGGCTTGAGATCCCGGTGAATAATACCATGACCATGGATGTGGCTCAGTCCGTCGAGGATCTGGCGAAACAAACGCCATGTTCTGTCGACATCATCGTACAGACCATTCTTGATCAAATCACGAAGGGTCTTTCGAATGGTCAGCTGAATAAGAATAGCTAGGCAGTAGTGAACAAGTGTATACTTACATGCTTCTCGCAGTACTCCATCTGAATATACAATGTCGTGGAAACAGGTCTGCCTTGGGAGCCAGATCTCACTCTGCTAAGTTCCTTGCCGGTTTCACTTCCAGTGCCATAAGTTTCGGGTGTTTCCCCATTACCACGGCTGGATAACGTTCCATCATTTTCTTCCTCGCTATCAGAGCCAAACTCAATCTTGGGGTAGCCACTGGAGCTGATAAAATCGAGTCCGCCTGTGCTGTATCCGTATCCTTGCGAGTTTTGAGAGTCTTCAGAGCCTTGACTAGCGAAAGGATCTCCCTCCGTAGATGATACAGCTTCCTCATCCACGAAGTCATAATCCTCTTCAATCCAAGCAGTGTAATAACGGACTAC